TGAGATTCAAAAGTGATCCATCTGCTAAATCCCTAAATTTATGATGTCACTAGAGAATGAAGATTCATTAAATATGAAAATCATTTCCCCCGCCATTAATGACGAAGACTATTATATGGGGCTTTTTTGCGGACAAAATTTCGAACGTGAATACATCAATGTTTTGTTAAATTCATTATTGTTATGCGTAATAATACAAATTGTAAAATAACATAAATCAATTTCGACTGGGGTACATCAAGTTCGAATGCTATGCATCGATGTTGTTTAGCATAAATCGCTTTTCCGAATCATTCGAGCGTGACCGTATACAACTAAAAGATGTTCAATAAAACTAAAAGATCAGGAAGCTGAAATAGAAATGACCGGACTTCCGTTAGACGAAGCTCATACGTGCGTGACATTACGTAACTAAAAGATGTTCCAATAAAACTAAAAGATGAGGAAGCGGAAATAGAAATGACCGGAAGTCACATAAAAGAAGAGGCCCCGGGAACTAACACTTCCAATATGGCGGAAATAAAGACAGATGATTAGGTGAACCACACACGTTTGAAAAGCATTATGCAGGGTGCACGTATTTGGTTGCCCAACATCGAAGGATTTTTTACGTCTTTGGGTAGGCTACTGGAAAGTGCAGAAGGGCAAAGGAACACTGCGTCGTACGACTCTGTGAATTTTTTAGTCGCCGTTTGCGAGAAAACGAAAGAACTCTTGTCACTTTGGCTCTAAGAATACTGTACTGGGCTGTAGTTCTGTCTCGGATTGTAGGCCGTCGAGGCTACAACCCTCGTTGAAGTAGCACTACGATTAGGAATTCCCCGGCGATGCCTCGGTATCTGAAACCTTGCATTAATTTCTTCCTCAGCGGAGGAAAATTCCGCACTGCTACTGTTCTCCGCCCTATTTGGGTTTCCTGATTGCGTCTGTAAATTAGTTACGCCATGTAAGACGGTGCGAACAAAATCTTGGACAGATCTAGATCTCGTGTTGTTTTCTGAGCTACTCTCCCGGTCCGCCATGTTGGTTAGAGAGAACAAACATTGGCGAAAGCGCGGGAAAACTAACGTCATTTGGACCGGACTTTATCACTTCCTGTTTCCGGTCATTTCTATTTCCGCTTCCTTATCTTTTAGTTTTATTGAACATCTTTTAGTTGTATACGGTCACGCTCGAATGATTCGGAAAAGCGATTTATGCTAAACAACATCGATGTATAGCATTCGAACTTGATGTACCCCGGTCGAAATTGATTTATGTTATTTTCCAATTTGTATTATTACGCATAACAATAATGAATTTAACAAAACATTGATGTATTCACGTTCGAAATTTTGTCCGCAAAAAAGCCCCATACTATTATTTTGGAGCGATAAGCTAGTGGGCGAGAGAGAATGAGCTATTCTCTCTTGTTGTGCGTTAATGTTCTCTATATTGAAATGTTAAGTCTTGTTTTTTCCGGAATAACCACTGAAAAATCTATATCAGTCCCATCCGGACCTTTTACCGTTATTTATTTGTTATCATTCCTTATTTTATACTTATTCGCTTTTACAGATTTTTTCTGTCGTCCCACTTCAGTCCAGCCCCTAAAACTATATTACGTAATTTTACGAAAAGTGGATGTTAAATATATTTACCATGCAGTTAAGCTGACCAATTTCAATTTTTGACACCTCAAGTCCATTCAATTAACATTAATAGACATGATAGGTTTGTTTATTGTCTTTCTCACGATTGTTAACTTTGTTTTTGCGATGTTTAGATACTATAGATAACAAAACATTTTACTGCTACTTTTAGAATCCATTTCGTTTTCCTTTCGTATTTAAATTTGTTAATCCCACCGAGGTTAAGATAATATAGACATCTCTAATTAGCACAAGAAAGCAAAATCTTAAGGTATTGTAAGAATAGTTGTAGAAAATTAACGTCATCGTGCATGCATATGGCTTAACATTAGTTAATTGAATAAGATGTAGATCTCCATAGACTGTGTTTTGATCTCTATTAATTATTCATAAGCAAAATAATTTTTATAATGCCAGACCTTAAAATTTTCAAGGGAACATTACGGCCATTTTTATGAGATTAGTAATGTTTTCCCACTTTCCTTGCTTAATGAGAAGTATAGGACGTACAATGCACATCGCTTAGGCTATGCTATTTTCACACTATACCGAATACCTTTTGCGTCGGCGCGGAAATCATACCGGATAGGGCTTCTGTTCACGGTGATTTTGGCGCGATTTCTGTAACGGAGCGAAGTTGCGCCGCGCCTATCTTTTTAAAAGTGGAGCGTCACATATCGGATAGGTTCTGTGCCTTACTTTAGTGCAGTGTGAACACCTTTTCAGACCGTCTCCGGAAGTGAATAAGTGGGACTAGGAGCGAAGACTGGGATTCAGTTCACCAAACTTTTTCGGCCAACCGCTCCGGCACGATGTCATGTGTGTAAACGACTTGTTCTAGTTCTGTGCCGTTGCTGTTCATGCTATACCCGGATAGCTTTTCGTGTCAGGACGAAAGGCCAACCGGTATACTATATAACTCGATCAACACTATTGCAAAAGGCTTAAACCAGCCCAAGGCAAAGCCAAGTAAGCCAATTTCCAGCGCTCTCAAATCTCGAAAACGACATTTAGCGCTTTTCATGCTGGATGGCTGCCCGCCGCTCACTAGCGCTTAGTACACGGAAAATTTTCAACCCAGCAAGCCAAGATCCCGACGTTACAAAGCCCATCGAAATCGCGGCTAGAAGGGTTAAGCGGTTGTCATGAAGGAAATCACAATGTTGATTTCTTTTGCAAGTTGCGTTTAATACACGGTCCGATATCCTGGCCTGCCGATTAGACGTAATTTAGTTGCTTACGGTTGAAACGAAGCTGTGACACTGACCTCGTTAGCAAGCAAAGAGTGGTAAGTCTTGTCAGCATCGTCCTAGTCATAGTCGCCTTGGGAACGGAGGCATAATGTACAGCCACATAAATTTTATTTTTGTAAAATTTAACGGGGAAATAACCTGCGTCCTTTGAAATAAGGATTCAATTACGTTAATGTTAATGAAAGACAGCAAACTTCTTTTTTAATTACTGTAATTATAGACAAAATTTTTACTTATTTGTCACCTGCGACCAGTATACTAATCAAAGAAGGGGCAGATGTGTCACAGAAAAAGAAACTTTATAGTTCTGTTGAGTTACGCTTCTGAAGATAAGACAGCGAAAGGCTGAGGAAAATTTTCATAATGACATGTTCACCTACCTGCCTACAGAGACACATCCACCAATGCAGAAGATTTTCCGCCAAAAGGGTCTTTCCCTATTTGCACAAGCCCATTCGGCCCCTATTAATCAAGGATCGATCCTTTATGCTGTTTTAGGTTGCGATCCTTTTCGCCAACCCCTTTTCCGATTTAGTCAATCCAGATTGTTTGGATTTTCGTGCTAGCCCGAAAAATCTGTTAATAAACTGATCCATACAGTAGCTGGCGAGCTACTCAGTACTGATCTTCTGCAATTTTCTCTGATCGCTTTTTTGATTTCTTTCCTCTTAAGAAGCGGCTCCTCGTAAGGCAAGGGAAGAAAGCGGTTTCATTAAATCTCAGAAAAGATCGAGATACCATTCTGAACGATCCAAGTGCGGAGAAGGATCGTTCAGAATGCGAATTTTGGATCGCAAAACCTCAATTTAGATTGGTCAAAAGGAACGCAACCTTAGTTTAGTTGTGTTACTAAATTAAGCGAAAAAACGTTTAAGTGCGATTTCCCTTGACTAGTCCGGTGGCTTAATTAGTGTAAAATTTTGGTGAGATCTATACAGAGCGGACAAAAGCACCGAACTTTGCATGATTGTAGCTAAGGGACAGCCTAGTCCCTACGCGTTCTCTCTTGACCCTTTGTCCGCGCGAAGTGTGGGAAAGAGCGGGCGAGTATCTCTCGATGACGTCACAGCTCACGGTAGAGTCCAGGATTGACCGCGCCGAGAACGCCTAGGGACTAGGCTGGCTAAGGGTATGTTAGTCAATATTAGGATCGGTGCCCACAGCTACCTCTTCAGGATTTGCAGCAACTACTCGGTGAAGTTCTTCAACAACCCTCCCTGATGGGCTCCCTGTGCTGAAAATTGCAACACCTTGTTTTTTGCTATTTTTTGATGAAAATCACATAAAAGGCATGTAGACGGAAAAATAAACTGTATTAATACCATTATTATTGAAACCAATGACTAAAACAGTTCGACTTAATGATATGGCAATGATGATATACCATGGTGGGTGCCCTGAGCCGAAAATATCAATTCGGGAAATTAGCTATAACCATCGTACAAAAACTTTCAACATTCAGAGAATTCGGAACGATGTCGTTTCTTGGAGGTACCACAAACTTGATGGAATAATGAATGGTCAGTGCGATCGAAGCGAAATAAGTAAGAATGCACTGTAAGCATGACCTCACAGTACTCATATAAAAAGTAAATTCAGTCGTGGAAAGTGGAAACGATTTAAGACACCTGAGCGATTAGTGTGAATTGTTAAAGTTATGCGTACCTCTGTGAAAACTCTGGCTAAGACCCACTCTGCTGTGATCAAAATACTATTTAAAAGAGTTTACCACTGTATGTTTCATTTGCTAAGAGCGAAAAATAGTTTAAAAAATTAAATTTGTAGGTCAATAACAAGAGGGCGTCTTTTACGTTACGTATTTACAAATTTACGTAGCACATGACAAGGAGCTGCAAAACTTGTGTGAAACCTTAAGAAATCAATATCAGAAAGAAGTATTCAAATGCTTTGCAGCTGCTCAGTAGTTATGTTGTCACACGGGTCTGTCTCTTTGAAGGATTTTTTTCGTTTTTTAGTGCTGATAATATTGCGGAATTCCCTTAAAACAATTGCTTACTGAAGGTCTCCAGCTGCTATTTACTTTTACTGTCTGTCATTCTCAGAGTTTTCTTTTTCTTGTCTGCTACGTTTGGTTATCCAGTCTGGTGTTTCTTGATTATTTAAGAATGTGAATTTTTTTGGTCTTATAGTCAGTAACTAAAATAAGTCCATCCGGTGTTGTAGTTATTCCTCTGGGGTCTTGTAAGGAATCAATAGTTTTTCCAGTGAAACAACCCTCCAATGTAAACTGGTCAACACGGCGATTGCCTCTATTACATACAAGAAGATTACACTGATCGCCACATTTCTGAACACACAATCCCCATGGTTGCTTCAACTGTCCATCACTCTTGCCTGGTTCTCCTATTTTGTACAAAAACTTCCCTGAATCGTCATAAACCTTCAGGCAATGATTATCCCTGTCAGAGACAATGAACTTGTTTTTGTAGTAAGTACATTGAGAGGGTTTATTAAGTTTTTCTGGCCCACTCTCACCAAATTGAAACAAAAGTACACCATCCTGTGATAAAACTTGGACTCTGTTGTTACGGCAGTCAGCCACGATAACACGTCCTTTATCATCCACACAAACACCGAGTGGATTCTGAAACTCGCCATTCTTTGTCCCTTCCTTCCCACAGCTTCTCACATGGTTCCCTGTTTGAACATTGAATTGTTGAATGCGATGATTTAATTGATCCGCCACTATAATGTTATCATCATTTAAGTATGTGACGTCAAGTGGGCTTTTTAGCTGTCCAGCATTGTTTCCATAACAACCCACTTTTCTTACACAATTTCCTTCTTTGTCAATTATCAGGATACAGTTTTTATCACTGTCAACAACAGTGGTTTCTCCTTTGCTGTTTAGGGAAATTCCAAATGGCTCTCTAAGAGTTTCTCCTTTTACTTTTAACTCTCCCACAACTTGAATGAGCCGTTGTTTTACTTGGACAATATAAGGACTTCCTTCAAGCTCCTTGCCATTTACCTTTATTATGATGTTAAAGATGCCTGGAACTTTAGGTGTGAACTTCACCTTGTAATCTCCATCTTGTTCGTAAGTCGTCAAAATTCCTACTTTATCAGCGGGTTCCACAAATACTTTCACTTCACGCACTTGTTCTCCAAGTATTTGTGGGTGAACTTCAAACTCTGATTCAACACCGGCTTGGAAATCTTTTGTTAGTCCTACAACTGGTTCACTTGTTGCAATGTAACCGAGTGTACGATTCTGTATTTCTTTAGTTGGATAAAACTTCAGGAATGAATTGACAGGAAGTTCTGCGATCGTTGTGTTTTCAAGCTGTTCAAATCGTTTTTCTAGATAATTCTTGCTTTGCATTATATCTGAGCTAGAGCTTCTTTGAATCAGATTTTCAGCAAACTCGATTGCTTGGTTGATTTGCTTCAGCAAGGATTGCACTTGTGCCTTTGCAGAGTCTAACTTATCCGCCTTTAACACGCGTGTGTTCTCGAAGGCGGTAATAATTTGCCGTTCGTTTTCTCGAATCTTGGCGATCATCTGTTCAGCTTTTTGGGAAACTTCACGTTTAGCGTTAGTGACATTTTTTTCCAGCTCAGATGCTGTTTGTTCACATAGACGAATTGCACCGCTTAGGACATTTGTTTTTGCTTTTAATTCCTCGGTTTTCATCAGGATATACGTTTTTTCGCCGTCTGCCACTTTGTCCAGCAGTTCCACGTCATGGCCCTCGTGTGCCTTGTGATCCGTAGCGATGCATATCTGACAAACACACAGCTTGCATTTGAGGCAGAAAAACCTTGTTATTTCTCGCTCGTGATATTGCACAGAACAAAATGACTGCCTCTTTATCAGGGCTTCGTAGTCTTGAGATTGGAACTGTTTGACTGGCGTCACCTTGTGTCCCTCTGTAAAGTGACTAAACAGTTGATGTGCGTTTACACAGTCAATGCACATGAATTTAGCGCATTCGAAGCAGTAACTTATCTCTGCGCTCTTTTTCTTGCAAATGCCACAACTGATGTCATTTCCTTTGCCGCTCTGTCGGATGGCGAGAACACTGAGTAGACTATTATGATGAAAACTGGTCGGTAGTTTATCAAAACTGTTTGCTTCGGGAAGATCGACTTCGGCTTGACACTCGGGGCAGTGAAACTTTCCATTTCTTTGGCTGGTCAGTGCATGATTCTTTAAACACTCACAGCAGAATGTGTGGAGGCAGGTTATTGTCTTGGGATCGGTAAAAGTATCCAGACATATTGAACAAGTAACGTGTTCTTTGAGATTCCTCAGCAAAGACTCCATCGTTCAAGTTTCTTTCACAGCAACAGAACACACCCTATTCTTGTTCAGTGTGATTCCGGGAAACTTGGACCATTTAAAGGACTTCTAGTATTACAAAAACAATTTGCGTTACACTACAGACAGGCAGCCAACCAAATTTGAATCTTTTCACCCTTTGACCCTAGTCTAAAAGCGGAAGTTCTTATAAGTTTCAAAGGCCATTTTTTGCTTAAGATGCGTGACTTGTGTAAATTATTTTGACAAAAACAAAGAAACTGCACCCAGTGATACGGGCAGTGTAGTTGTTATGAAAATGGGGTTGATCGAATTGAGAATGAAAGAAATTTTAAGGGTAGAAAGGGTATACACATAAGCTAGTTAATCTGCTAATGAGGTCAGGGGCATCTTGTTGTGCTGGACTATTTGGTACTTGTCTACTAATTATTTCCCTTTATTTCTACAAACCCCCAAATCCAATTTTTTTCTTTTAAAATAATTGTTTTATTTAAATCACACTGTTAAAGTTACGTAGAGGTACATTATTACGTAATAAAGAAGTGAAAAAAATGGAAAAAACGAATGCACCTTACATTGAGTGAAATGACCTTCATTCCTTTTTCTTTTTGCATTAGATAAGCTAATCTAAAACAATACGCTCTTACCTAAAGCAGCCGTGTGATCAGTAAAAGAAACAAAACAAAACAAACGAAAACAGCTAAACCAGGTTAGCACAGAAACCACTGCGGACTCAAACACTTGAAAAAAAAAACGTTACGTTTAAAGGTAAAGAAAATACTTTACCGAAAAAAACTGCTCAATTCGAAACCTTTTTGAGATCCCGCTCCCTTACTTAAGAGTTTCATTGTGCTTTTACCTACCAGCAGTAGGTTAACATTGAGTCAAAGGTTATCAAGGTCTGACTAATTCTTATAGGGTTTCCATCCGGCGAAGTCTTCACAAAAACTTTCCCGTCAACAGTCCAAACTCCCAGTAATAATCCGTCATTCTTCTTATCAGTCGCCATTTTCACCAATCTTCGGCGAAATGCTGTCAGATTTTCATCTATGAAGATGCGCTCCGACTGGGGGCCACTCTAGCTGCCGCGGAGGCGTTTGGAAATAACTCCAACAACTTTACAGACTTCAGTCGCACTCTGTTTTATTTAATTTTTGTAGAGCGCTGTCTTAACTTTACATCCTCATTAGTGGCCATTCTCCTTAGCAGACGCAGACCCCTTTCTAAGAAAACGGTTTCAATTTTAATTTTTTTTTTCTATCTTTACTTTTTGCTCCTCTACACTGCGAGTGCTACTACTACTGGGCAATTTCAGCATCATAAGATTAACACGTGATAGTATCAATATGTACCACATGAGACAACATAACCAACACTTATTGGCACTGTACTTTTTTCTTGTAATACAAGCTCCCCTAAGCGGCCCCCCGCCTCTTATATTGCTAGTGGCCGCTGCTTAATTTCTGCAAGCGGTCAGCCCTAGTTTCGAAAACGTTTCTCAGTTCTGTTTACCAGGGATCTTGATTCGCTTAATTCGTTGGGATTGCTAGCTAGATTGCTAGATTGGAACGACGTTGAAAAACGTCAAGGAACCTATATGCCTGTTTCTTTCTTGCGCCTCAGGTACCTGCGCCCAAGAAATAATAACAGCCAAAAAGACAGAAGAATAGGGCCTTACGGCTTACGACTCCAAATCTGATTTTTACTCAGATTCGGTTTCTAATCAAAATCAACCTTATTGGAGGCAGTTGGCTGTCGATAAAATTCCAGTGTTATGATATTAATTTAGTTTGGTTGCAGCACAAATTTGGTCATAGATGTTTTCTTTTTCTATTTTAGATGGAAGAGATCAGGTTTCATCTCAGATCAGAAAGAAAACATCAGCTGCAAGAACTCAAACTCGCCTCGCTTTACACAGCTAACTTCTCAAACAAGAGGACTAAATTCCGAGAAACTTGACATCTGCAAAGAAGAGCAAGCTTCTTGTGAATGGACTGAGTAAGATGACTTCCCTTCTTCAGAGAATCTTAGTGCATTTCCAGCTGATATGGAAATGGATGCTTCAAAAAAAACAATAGAGCAATCTCAGCCAATCATAAATTCCAAAATATCAAGCATGTGTGAAGTCAGAGGGGAAGACACCCGGTAAGATAGTTACGTCACACAGTGTTAGTTTCAGTGATGTCGTTTGTGGATTTGGTCAAGAGGATTACACTGAATTAGTAACTGATTTCCCTTCCTCTGGAGATCTAGACGCCTTCTTATAGCTGATACGGAGCTCGATTGTGAAAATATACTACAGAAAACACCGTCGACGCCTGCTGATGCTATTATGTCGGCTGACCCGTTTGAACTTCAACTAAAGGTAGAGGTGTCTAGAACATTCAATGGCCAGTAACGAGCACAATATTAAAAGGAACGCGAAAAGAAACAACACTGAAAACTCTGATAACGTTTTGGACTTCACTATCGGTGACTGCTTTTTCACGCAGAAGGATTCTGTAAGGCAACAATGTGTCTCCAAAAGCGATTCAAACGTGATTCAAATGCCGGTACTTTTCTTGACATTCTCAATTTCTTAGAAACTGCAACACTGTTTTCACTGAGCTCTCTGAAGAGTCCATTTGTGAAAAAGAGATGAGAGAAAAAAAAAACAATGGAGCCAGTTTTCCTGTTGATTTACTCAGCAGTTTCACGAAGAACAATCAGCGGAAGCCTACTCATTGTGGAGAAGAAATAATAAAGCAAAGGAAGGCTGTGTGCCGCTTAGAATCAACCAAAGAGCTACTTGAAGAGGAAGTCGTTTCGTTTGTACCACGTCCCTGGAGCACAAAGAGCTAAACAAATGGTCACATGATCAGGACAAAAGTGAAGTGGAGATCCAACAAACCGGAAGCCAAAAAGCTGCTTCTTTTCAAGGAAACAGCTATTCGTTGGCTAGTATTACAACTTTCCCACGAAAATTTCTTAAACCTGCACAGGCGTGCAAGTCCCTTGGCGAAAGCGCCTTTCACGATCATTGAAGGCTAATTCAGTTGACCACGTTCTACCTTGCCTGAATGTTCTATTCAATAACACTGACCCACACCTCCGACTTCATGTGACCCGGCACCATTCACCGGAAGAAGCCTCCACAAATCCGCTCACCAGTTCTTTAAGTTTCCAGCCCCTTTATCTACATATTGGAATTATTCCACCACATTTTGACATTCCTCTTGGGTAATTCCCTTCTTCTAATGAGGTCCAGTAAAATTTCCGACTTTTGGATGGTGGAATCCCGAAGGCAACTGGACGCTTGGACTACGTACTTCACTTCCATAATTTATTTCCATATCTCCACATATAACTATAGTTCAAGGACCTTTATTAACACTCCTGTTCAAGGTACTTTAAACATCGCATATAATCCGTTTCTAACTCCACAAATCGAACTTTCATTTTCTGTTATACTGCAAGCCAACATAATTAAAAGAAAAAAAATGATACACGGAGAATGAATTCAGCCGCGATCTTCAAATTCAAGAATACCGTATTTATTCGATTAAACGCCGCGGCGTTTATTAAATTTTTAGCGTTTCCAATGCGGTGTTTATTTCGAAATCACTTTTTTTAAATCAATTTTAAATCGTTTGTAATTATTATACAATTTATGGGTTCCAGTGTCTCTTTTAGTTTGCTGAGATAGAATCGTCAATGACTGGATGGTGTCATTTACCAAGTTGTACCGAGGTTTTTCTTATTATCCTCGCGTAAACGCCGCATTCTTCTCATTAGGTGCGGCGTTTATTCGAGGGCGGTGTTTATACGAGGGCGGCGTTTAATCGAATAAATACGGTAATCTAACTCATATACAAAACAGGGAGATCCCGCAAACTCAAAGTTTTATGTCTTTTTGATATGCCGTCGTTTTTTTAGCAGCCCCAATTTAATAAGCGCATAATTACAAGACAAACCTAAAGTACATTGTATAACTACGACTATAAAATGTGTTTTGCCTGGTAAGATTTATAGGAAAACTCCCTAAATTATAAAGTATCAAAACTGTTAAGAGCAAGCGAGTTTCCAAGATCAGGGATGGGCAGTTTAAGTGCGAATCTGATATTAAGTTACAAACTTAACTGATCTTTACTCTCACAAGTTCACCCCGAGGAATATTTTTTAAACTAATATCTTAAATTATATTTAAATTTCGAAGGCCTTCTACTAAGACGAGTCGCCTGCGTAAACGGAGTTACACAGACATTAATCGCGTTTTTTCGCAAATTCGTGCGTGGGCACAAAGGGACAGTGCCTTCTTCTACTAGTACCACTTGACAAATCCTATAAGAAGGCTATCACATCAATAACTAAAAAAAAGATAATGACCAAAGTTATTTCAACAGATGAAAACTAATCCATAATTTTGATTTTTGGGGGACGGACTTGCATGGCAGTGTTGGATTTGTGTCCAAGGTAGTCAAGGCTGTCCTCCCAGGAAATTTAATGAGAGCCCAGTGCTCTGAGCGTGTAAAATATAGGGTGCCCAGCATATGATTTGCATGAAAAAAAGTAAGATTTTCTAGTTACCCAAGAGAAAAAGTCAGGCGCCAGGGGGGCTAGAGCACATCCCTGGGCTAGTCCTGAGTTTCAATCTCCGGCCAAGTTTGTAAATAGCCAACTAGACTCCGTCCTGCTGGTTAGAATTCTTAACAATGTTATGCTGAATTTGAATTATTTGTTTCAGTTATTCGCCATAGCCTTTCCGCTTTATACTGCAAAAATAGAGGTCATTATCTAAAACACTCATCTTAAAGAAACCTAAGACGAGTCAAAGAAAGCTATTAAAAAATTCTACTATCTAAGTAGCATATTTCAAGGATTTTGACCGAAAGATGGAATAATCACATTCTATTGCCCTTTAAATCACTCCTAACGCAACGTTTCACTCGGCACTCGGCCCCAAGATAGCCCTCTCGTAATCTATGTCTTATGCTTATCATAATTGATCTAGTAATTAATTAAGTAGCTCTAGGTAAGTTAGAGGAACTTTTCCTCTTTGGCTCCCTCGCTCTCCAATCATCCAATCAGAATCTAAACCCGGAGCACTGTAAACGGTGATTACCTGAAAAATGAAAAAAAAGATAGTCATAAGTCGTACCGTGAGGAAACATCTGGGCAATGACACATAATTTCAGGATGGAATTTCTGCAGTCGTTTCTCAGACGTCATTTCGCGGGGAAAGCATTGATGCATCGCGAAATATCGGCGGTCTTGTCAGGCTATAGTTTTAAGATGTTCAAGCAAAAGCTTTAAATGTCTGTATGGATTAAAATGTCTTGACGACAAGTAAAGTTAAAGCTGAGGGGTGAAAATGGATACAAATTAAAATTCTTTTAATGAGCCGCCGTGCAAGAAGAGAGACCCTGATTACGGAACAACAAGAAAGTGTTCTTAGTGATCACATCAGTCACTCGCCCCAAGTGACCAACAAGTTCGAGTTACAAGAAAACAGAAGCAACTAAGCCGTGACACTGACCTCGTCAGCAAGCAAAGAGAGCTCATTCTTGTCAGCCGCGTCATAATCATAGAGTACTTTAGCCTTCCTTGTCAGAGCCGGCCTGGGAACAGTGTTAGGGTCCAGTGATCTGGAGCTATCAATAGGCAATGACGCAGAGGGAGGGGCTAGGGGGATAGTCGCGTCACCTGGCGGACTGAAATAATTTTCAGTATCAGACCTTGTTCTATGATAAAGACCAGAGCGGTGCAGAAACGGTCCATATATATATTTTTTTAAGCCAACGAGTTGTTAACATGCAAGTATGTATCCCTGGCCAGTTTCTAACGCTTTATCTACACAGGTGCTAGGTTTTTTACAAGGGGTAGTTTATAATAAAAGAGCAATTTCTTGCACGCTCTTTGGTCGAGAGCTATGGTAGAAAAGAATACAGACTTTGGAAATTATATGATAGTGGCGCAATTTTTTTTTCTTTATCTCTCGCGCGCGATTTTCAGAAAACTAGTCCAACGGAAATGGACTTAATTCGTATTTGAGAAGACAAAACGACAACAATTTTTCATCGCCTATACTCTGGTCGACCATGCAAATAACGTCAAAATGTTCAAAACTTTGCAGTGAAACATCTCAGCTGTGGCTCATGGTTGAGGTTCCGCTTGAAGTTTGAACATTTCGACGTCAGTGTAGACCAAGGAAAATTGTTGTCGATTGGTTAATTTGATCACGGCCTACGCTGATAGACAAAAACTAAACACCAGTTACACCAGCAACCACTTTCCCTGGGTACATTTTCCATATCATTGGTTACTACAAGCACTGAACATTGACAGTCCTGATTACATTACAGAGAGAATTACTATGTCCTTGAAGCCTCGTTCTTGATAATGAGAGAGTGTTTACCAAAAGCAAAAATTTAACAGATGAACAAAGGTAGAAATAATTCAGAAATTAAGACAGCAAGAGAGGAAGGAACACAAATACGAGAAACAGCAAGCTTTTATCTCACGTTTGAAACCTTTTGAACACACTGTTGGTAAAACAAGGGAATGGCATTTATATACAAAACCTTCACAAACTGAAGCCAAGCTTTTGGATTTAGCTAACTGGCTGGGTACCTTGCAAGTTGTTTTTGTAGCTCTGTCATGTATGAATGGCACTGGGCATAATACTGTGCCTGAGCTTCCACAAAGTTCATAAGAGCACGGTGGTGATTGGCCTGAAAACATTAACAATCACACAGCAATCATTAACTTATTCACTTGTTTGCTGTGAAGCCTTTTCAGCGCAATGTAATATTTTGATTAACCCAAGGCTAAAAGTAAAGCTCCTGTTCAAGAATTTATAATTCACTTTAAACAATAAACTTTTTACCATCGCAAAGAAATCCACCTGGAGTCGAACCTGGGATCAGTTGAAAACTATTTATTTGTCAGTGGATAACCTAAAAAGAACTTGAACCTCGATGGGTCAACACCTAAACCCGCGATATGGTCATGTGATACCGCTCAGCTGTTTTGACAGTTGTCAATTGACCACAACACTGATGTGCAAAATGAGGTCGCAGGCTCCTTCACTAGCTACAGTAGCTATATTGGGGTCCCTGTGTTGGGAACAGATGGGTGGACGGACAGACAGTCGGAAGGAAGGACCTATGGTCACCTAATACTACCAAAATTTCTCAGATGAATAGACAACCAAATTTTCTCAGCTATGTGGCTCCACTTGCGCACATGGAGCTTCGCTAATAGTGTAGTACAAACCCTGATATCAGGCCAGGGAGAGCAGCTCTCATGAATTCTCTCCATTATGTTGTCACACTAAAATTTTACTGGTGGAATTATATCTATCAAGCAAGAAGAAACTAGAGCCTGACCTCAGGTTACCTTTGCTTGTACAAGGAGTTCATGCTCTATGTACTTTCTTCTTAACTCTTTCCTTGTACATGATGTTTAATGGTTGAAGTGTCGACAAGTTAAGAGTACATTATTATTTAGCCACACTAGCATTATAGGAAATATTAAGTTCCACCGAGAAAAAAGTCTACAGTACTCACATGTGCAGTGCTAATTCCATCCAACAGAAGTTTTGTAACTTCATATTGCCTGTCAAACTCCGCTTGACACACTCGCAAATCTGCTTCAGCCTAGGAAAATAACATTGTAAAGAAAAGTAAATGATACATGAAGATTAGAAAATTTCCCACTGCAAGCACTGTACAACATTATTGTTTGTGTGTGAACAGAACCTACATGTAACAGTGAGTTTCTAAGTTGACTACCATTTCAGTGCACGTGTGTATTACATGAACCAATAAACAATGCTGTAGCCTGCAATAGCTGGCGGGTTTAGCATGGGAGTGCTGTTAAAGTACTCACAAGAATCCTGCCAGCTACACAGGCTAACAATGTTGCTGTCTTGTCTTTTTATATAATGTAGTTACCACATGCAGGACCCCCCATTCTGACACTGTAGTCCTAGTCCAATGTACAGTTGTTTACATTTAGAACCTGTGAATACATGTTCCATTTTAAACGAGAAAACAGTTACAGTCATTCAACATGGAACTTTTTTCTTCCTTGCTGCATTAAATGTGAGGGAAGACAAGAGGTCACCCATCTCTTATTAAATTGTTATTGGCCTCTTCCAAGGATTATTCCGCGATTTTCTGCTTGATCTCACTGGGTATCAAATTACACATCAGAGCCTATGAGGATTTTAGAATTACTGACACATCATTCAAGAGATGTTTGATTAAGCATGAGGAAAGAGCTGAAATAAGGAAAAGAGCATTGACAGCACTGAAGAATAGAAGGCAAAGGATCTTACTTCAAGAATACTCACCTTATCCAACTCAGTGATTACAACCAAGTTCCGTGATGAATACATCTACAGTTTAGAGGATTTATACAGGAATAAAGACAGTTTGGAAGGAAAGAACTCACTTTAAAAGACATTGCATAAACTTTAACAAGTTAAATGAGTGTTATTGGTTGTCAGGAAAGCAGTGATAAACCGAGGAATAAGGTTGGATAAATATCATTATATTTAATATGTTTAGAGCTGTATTGTGGTTTGAGTTGTCAGCCAGTTAAAGTATATCTGAGGCGATGCCTTAAATTTAAAAGTAACCATTAAAATCATTCTTCCTGCATTTAATAGAAAAAACAAAGAATTTTATTATTTTGATATGATACCAGTATCATGCAAGTCAGTACAGCAAAACAGCTTTCACATTGTTCAAATCTGGTAAACTTGAGTAACAAAATTTAAATTTAACATGACAAAACCAATGCTATAACTCACAAAGCATAAAAAAATGAAAAGAAAATTATAATAATGCATTATTTTAACTTTGTGTTTAATCAACTGGATTTAACTTTTTAAACTAGGTGCCACATGCTTGTTTTCATAATTGTTTTGCATCAAAAAAGGAAAGATAAGGGTCATTTGACAGCTTCATTTCATTTCATTTTACTCACATAAATAGATGCATTGGTCAGGTATGTTATGAAAAAATAGCACATCATTAAGCAATCTAAATGAAACCACATTTGCTCATAACAACTAAATTAAAGACAAGTGAAAAACTTGCAAGAAAGCAAATTAAAGCAAAACAAGTTTAAGGTGGAAAGAGCCACCCCCACAGGTGCCAAGTGAAAGAACAACAGTTACAAAATGTCACCTTTTCCGCTTTGTCATCAGGAAGAAAGAGACCTTTTGTCAAGCATTTGAATGTGACCTGTTCAGATATTAAGAACTCATCATGTTATGAATGCTTGTGTAATGTTTATCTTTAGAAGAAAAATTAATAATGTTTAGGACTAAACTATTGAGAATTACATGTAATGAAAATGACAGTGTCCAACACGTGTTGATGCTCATGCAATCTCGAAAGTGACAATAATTTTTGGTCATCTTCTTGTAGTTAGGGCGATGTACAATACCCCATAGACTGCGAGTAGTCTCTCTTTTGCTCAAAAATCTGTAAGCAAGGGTATTTGAGCAGCGAAGTTGTGCAAGTTTCCAGGGCGCGAGTTGAGAAGGTACGAATACGAGCGAAGTATTCGCACCTTCTCAACTCGCACCTTTGCAACTCGAGCGACTTCCCTGCTCAAATACTCTTGCTTACAGATTTTTGAGCAAAAGAGAGACTGCTTGCTGTCTAAATACACCGTTTTTACCTGTTGTATCTTTTCCGGGCTCTGAGCCTTTCGTACTTTGGTTTTACATGCATCCAAGTCTAATCGTTTTGCCAACAGTGTCCTTCGTTCTTTCTAAACACAGATCATAAAAATACATGTTATAAGCCACCTTTAATTTAATACAGTGTATACTATGAAAACATGTTATGACCATGCATAACCCGTTAATAAACCTGTTAATATGGTCACCAATGGTCAAAAAAATTTTTAAAAAATTGGCTGTACTAAAAGGGTGGCCATATTACAACTGGGCAGGGTCAAATTTCATTACTTAAGGGCGGTAATGACAAATACACCATACATTGGATTGGCACTTCTTGAACAACTGTTCTCTTTATAAAAGATTCTACTATTTGGGAATGTGGCCAATGGCTTTTATTAATAGGTGACTGCATTAACCGGGTTTCTTAGAGGAAAATGTACAGCCGTTTTGCCGGGCTGAAAAAAAAGTACATACAGTACAGTATACGTTTCTTAGTTGTATCAGACACAGGGCCCATCTCAAACGGGTCAACACTTATTTCCATCCGCCAAACTGATGTTGACAGATTAATGATTCGTACACAAAGTAAGGGTTAGGGTTAGGGTTAGGGTTAGGGTCAGGGTTAGGGTTAGGGTTAGGGTTACAGTTGTTGCTATATATATTCAAATCAAACCATTCATTGTCAGGAAATCCTCGGTGGTGTAGGGGTTAAAGTAATGCACTGCAGAGCCGATGCTCCAAGATTGAATCCTACTCGTACCACTTTTAATTTTTTTTCCCTTAAAAATTGAAGAGACTTAGACTTTTATGAACAGAAAATTCAAGAGACAGAGAAATTTCATTTAAGAAAAGTGAAATGTCTTGTGAGAGCCACTGAGAGGAAAATGTCAGTTTGGCGCACGGAAACAAGTGACGACCTCTCAAACACTGAGTTTGAGTGGACAAATGATGATGATGATGATGATGACACATAATTATGTACGACCTAAAGGTGAGGGTAGAATTTCAGTAGCAACACTGCAGAATTAACATGGTAGTGAACTCATTATAAAATTACACTACTGTACAAACGTAGAATGTCAGTGTACTTACAGCAATTGTTTTCATATCTCCTTCCAAAAATGTCTTCAGCTGGTGAAGAAAGTTTGTCATGGACTTGGCTTTTAACTCTCTTCCTGCTTGACCAATCTTCTTTTCTGTTTCGCCACACTTTACTAATGCACTTCCTAAGACGTAAAAAAAAAAGAAATGATAGTTGGCATATATGGGACTGCTTCTCAATATTGAGGCCTAGACAAACACTAATATCACAACAGTAATATGGCAGACATAGAAAAATACATAAGGTTCACAAAGTACATATGTATATCAATGGAAATACATGTACACATACAAAAATTACATTAGTAATGTTTACCATATGCTGTAGCTCATAATCATAATAATACACAGTACATGTCAGACTTAACTACAAGTCAAGCTCAAATTTTTTCACAAGTGTGAAGCACGAGCGGCAGATTTTTTATGTTTTCTGTGGCAAAAGTGAGCGAGAGAGTGACAGCTTGACTTGTATCCGCTGCAAAAAATCAGATCAAGTGACGTCATTTTGGTGTGAACTAATTGTGTTCCTGTCACGTGTCATCATGAGCTGTCAGAGTATGTCAAAACAAACAAAAAACGGAAACAAACTTCCGATAAGAGAAAGTAAATAAAGTATTAAAGGAACGCTCAATAAAAAAATTGGGTAATGAACAAAAGTGCCTTCTTGTGATATTTGTGAGTTTAGTCTCCACATGTTTTTGGGCCTGGCCCTTCATTATTATTCAGTCGAGTTTAAGTACATAAGAATCGTTGCAAGGTTTGCTTGGCCATGAAAGGAAGCATAAAAACAAAACAAAAACAAAAAAGTCCGTAATTTTTTTCCAGGAAAATCCGGCCTTGGTAAAGTACTCAAATGGAGGAAGATAAAACACCCAGTAAAGCTTTGTATTTGAATACAGGCAATAAAACGAAATCGAAATACAGCCCACAAAAAATACACAGTTCAATTGAATTTGGATCAAAACAGTTCAAGTCACGTTTAATGTGGCATGATTGGGTTTTATTGACGGCCCATCAGTAAAACCATTCGTGATTGGATAAAACCCACTGGAGGAAAATTCCACCTGTAAATTTGGCCACTGCAGGGGATAGAAGTCCTTCGCGCTGGGGCCAACTACCGCAACCGGAAATGAGAAGCAAAGGACTTTGAGAAAGTCTAAGTACATGTAAATGGGCTCAACTTATTACAGCTGTACTGTTATAGGTATTTTAAAAAGTGTTATATTGTAATCTATATATCTCACCATAATTGGTTCCAGGACCAAAGTCATTCCCAGCCTCAATCATGGATTGGCCAAGTGTTTCACTCTCTGTCAGTCGAGGGGGTTTTGGTTTGTCCAGCTTCTCATATACAAATTCTTCAGCTCTCATGCCTACATTATAAATAGACACAGAGAAATATATTTATAACATGACCACACACAGACAGCGTGCAAAGAAAGTCGTGTCTGATAGCCTGGGGCTAGTGGATTTTGCTATCGGGCTAGTGATTTTTGTTCTTAACTTGCCCGACGGGCAAGCGCTGTTTTTTGGGGGAAATTCAAATTACAGAAGGATTGTAATCAATCTTGCTAATCAAAAAGGGTTTGGGCTAGTTGAAATGACTTGTGGCTAGTACATGCTAGCTACAGTTTGCCCGAATGGCAGGCTGTAAAACTGACTTTCTTTGCACCCTACACATAGACAGAATTTTTCTTTGAGCATTGACAATGTGACTATACAAATGTGAGTAAAGGGAATTGTATACACTGTATGTAAGGTATTCTCAACATGAGAAGATAAAAAAAGTATCTTTTCACAGGTTTCCATTCAATTATTTTATACAATCATGATTGATTTTCTGAGAGATTTCATGTGAGCGTAGTTTGAGTATGAGAGCTAGTTTATGAGGATTTGATAAATTAATTCCAAATTAATTCAAAGCCTCAGCAACCACCAGCAAAAATAAAGAATCTTTATATCTAGGCCTGGTTCAAACCACACATTTCACATGTACCAGATAATTTAATGCCTACAAGGAAAATCTACTGTTCTCACTCATTTGCATTAGATTCAGCATATGTGAATACAAAATTTCAATCAGATCTACAAAACAGAGATATTTGGCAATTCAGGTTACTTTATAATTCATCAATATTTATAATTTATATCAAAATATTCCACCACAATCTGACTGGTTGAAGAAACCACAACCGAAAATAAACAAACAATAAATAATGAAACAGACAGACAGTAAAGGGCTTCATGCAAAAAGAACATGTGTCACAATTTTGCTGGAACAGATTCAAATAATCATGTCAAAATTTAGACTGCGAGCAGTCTCTTATTTTCTTCAAAGTTGCTGGTGTGGGACGCGTGAGGGGCGAGCGGCGAAGCCGCGAGCCGTGAGAAATGAGGGCGTAAGCCCAAGACGAAGGAATTTTCTTGCCTCGCCCCAGTCCCTTTGTTTAAAGCGTTCTCTGTGCCAAAACACACCATGTCTGAGAACTCGACGGATCTTAAGAGAAAAGACGGACTGTTCGCAGTCTAGTTAAAATTGGTTAAAAAAACATCTAATATAAATTGTTTCATTCATGTCATTTTTCCCTAATAACTTTTATCTATCTGGAAACAAAACCGCTACACCTGAGGTAAAGCACTGTATTGATCCACTTTGAAGTGGGATCAAAATCCTTTCACTTTAATAGAAGCAAAACTTTTGAGTTTTGATCAGTTTTTAATTGTCAAAATCATCGGGAGTCACAGAGCCTTACTTGATGTTTTTACATCAGGTCAATCAACTTGATCATAGCATCTTTGTTAAGTCATATCTAATCTCACACATTTTCATCCACAATACAAGACCATGATACATGTAGATGATTTAACATTGAAATTTTGTTTTTCATAAGTGAAACACAACCTTTCTTATTCTAAATGGTCTAAAACACTTTTTGATAGCTTGCCAATTATAAATTTCAAAATAAATTTATAAATTTTTTATGTACAATTGAAAATTTTTATATTGATACAGTAATTGCACAATACAAATTAAAATTAATATTAAATGGTCTTGATAATAGTAGAAGAATCAAGAATCTGATAATAGTAAACAACAACTTTGATTTTTTAGCAAAACATGTTTTGATTGATTTTTGATCATCTTCAGAGGCTTGAAATTGCAATAAATGGTGATACATGATGTGAATTGACCTGAAGTTAACTTGTAATTATTAAACTTTTTATATTAATGTTACATGTGGTATTAGTGAGTGTGCGACATCAAGCTTTCCACAAAAACATAAAAAGAGAACCATATAACCTTAATGTTTTAAATCCTTTTTATGCAAATTAAACATTTGAACAGATTTTAACATTTACATTGTATACAGAGTAGGTTTACTAGATTTTCTTTGAATAATGTTTTCCCTTGTATGCAGAATATTGATATTTCGCGTTTACTAATAAATTTTGCTCATAAGTTCTTAAATGCCATTGTCAACTCAGATACCCATCACCATTGTTACTTTAAAAGTTAAATTACCATTAACAACTGAAAATTATCAAAGATCGATCAAAACATGCCTTGCTTAAAAATCATTGTTGCTCTTCATTTTTTATGGATTTTCCCTATTCTTTATATTAAGGTGTTTAATCTTTGCATTGAAATGTTGATATTTTTTCTTATGATGTTATGTACATGAAACATTCTAGAATAATGACAAATTTTATTGATTTTTTGCTTTACATGTAAATAACATTCAGATTGTAACTGCTAGACAAAAATTCTGTTGGTGCAATAATATGTCAAATGATCTTGATACACAACCTTTATACATCATCCAGATTACTATAATCATTTTACATTTTGCTACAGATGAAAAAAAATTTAGCTCAGGGAGCTGAATTTTCAAAGGCCCTCCTCCTCCCCCACCCCCGTGCCCCGACCAAAAAAAGAAACTGATGTTAGATTTGTTGACGTGAACGCTAAATTTCGACTTCCGGTTTTCACTTTCTCAGAATATTAGACTGCAAGTTACCCGAATGTGGCAAAATGCACACACAATTTTATGCTTGTTCGGAATTAAAATAATAGCCCATTTCCACTTTTAAATTACCAATGAAGTTATTAAAATAATATCAGAATCACCCTCCTTGGTTTTAAAAAATTTTCCCTTAAAAATACTTAACTTCAATTAATCTCACGAGGGTTTTAACACAGTGACCCTGGAGGAAATTATCTAAAATCACTTAGACAACGGTAAATTGCCTAGTGATATCTGCCACATAAAGTTTTTATCACATGAATATATTCATGAGACGATTATCGACGCCACGAAGCTAAGCCTGTAAAATTTATGAAGAAGTTTTATTCTTGGAAATATTGAGTCCCAAAGAAAATGCCTTGCCCGCTTTAACAGTTGCAAAAATATGTTACGACTTTCACCTGAACCAAGAAAAAGTCATGCAAAACAAACCTGGATTCGGCTGAAGCAAGGCTTCTGTTTGTCGTAACAATCGTTCTGTCCAATACTTGGTACGATCAGCCTTCTCCACAAGCGACTCAAACCTGGCATCAAAAACAGTTTTCTCTGATGTCCCCAGTTGTTCCTCTGTGTACTAACAAATAAAAGATTCGTTGAAAAAAAATGACTCTATGATAAGACACCTTGGCGTATAAGGTAACAAACCTGTTTCGCCCTTGAGAAGAAAGTTGCCGTTTGGGCACCGAATTTCTTCATTGAATCAGCCATGTTATTGATGTTTACTGAGCGAAAATAATCCATATTGAAGATGATGCGCAGTAAATCGCCAAAAGTGCAGTTCTCTGCGCAGACACAGCATCAAAACTCCTCGTATCCAGACTCCCCGCGAACATGCTCCACTGATGGGAGGGCTACCCTGCGAGCAGGGTCCCCTTCGATCTTCCTAGACGTCATTTCCCGGGGAAACCAGTGGTGGCGTCGCGAAATGTCGGTTGTTTTCTCAGGCTATACACAAATTGACTTACTTTCATTACCACAGAAAAACAAGTTGTAAGGAGTCCCGCTCCTAAAGCGGTCTTAAGTTAAACCACAGGTAGCCCAAGCTCGAAATATGAGTATCGGCGAGCATCGGCATGATTTGTATGGGAAAAAAACCGATCGTTTCGGTAACCTACGAAAATGAAAGAATTTCAATACAAAACAGCTTACCTTACTTAAAATGTGTGTTACGTCTCTCCTGTGTCGTCCACGGGCCGATTTATGGCCGTTTTATGGGTTTTTATTTATATAGAGAGAAACCATTTACATAAAAACCCATAAAACGGCCATAAATCGGTCCGTGGACGACACAGGAGAGACGTAACACACATTTTAAGTAAGGTAAGCTGTTTTTTATTGAAATTCTTTCATTTTCGTAGGTTACGGAAATGATAGGTTTTTTTCCCATACAAATCCTTATATTTTGAATGTTACGCAACAATGCCGATGCTCGCCGATGCTCATATTTCGAGCTTGGGCTACCTGTGGTTAAACTGTTTTAAATTCTCAATTTTTGCAAAATTGAAAATAGTTTTTAACGTATTTTTTTAAATGATCATAGCCTGCGATCAAGGGCTTTTTTGTTTTCGGGGGAAGGGCCTTCCATTCATTTAATTACCCTCCCGATAACTCGAACATTTTTCGATTTCCCTAGAAGTTCAGGTTATCGGATCGGGAGTCGGCTTCGAGTCGGAGCGCGCGATGGTTATCGCGCGCGCTTTGTCATTGCTACACCAGCATTGTGATGCTCACAGCTATGCAAGAAACTTTACATTCTATCCTTTGGGAAAAGTTTTGGATTTTTTTCACTCTCAAAATTAAAAAAACCCTGGACTGCCCTGGACGCACTGAATTTTGAAAACCTTCCATTTTCACTGTAAGTGCAATATCTAACGAAGTCGAGGCTGTACATTTCAAAGGCTTGTTGTCCAATCAGGATGCAGATTTAGCGTCTGACTGCAAAGCAACGGCTTGGGTTTATAGAAGAGTTTTGTGCTGTTGTTTTGATCATTAATCCTCAAGACCTACGAATCTTCCGTCCATATGGATAGATTTAGAGGATGAGTGACTTGAATTTGTAGAGAAAAGGTCTGTATCGTTTTTTGCGCTGTGGCTTTGTCTTCCATTCTTGTTCGTGAAGTCAATGTTTCGGCGCCAAATTCGAGTGTCACGACAGAGCGTTTTACTCGACGCAATAACCTTGTTCATTTCATAAAAATTTGTGGTGAGTTTTCGCTAACTTTCAACTTGCAGGCGTAGTAAGAGAAAAAAGAAACATTGTCGTTGGAGCTAACCATTGGATTGAGCATTCCAATTCAATTTTAAAGATAATGTCTTTTGTAAATTTTGTACACGCAAGGGGGTTGAATTGCACATATTTTGTCACATGTCAGCTTATAAATGGCTAAAGTGCAAGGGGATTCCACCATCTCTTTTCTTGTCTGACAACACGGACTGTATCCGCCTTTTGTTGCATTCAATATTTTTTCAGTAAACTGTATTTGTTGGAAGTATTTGCATCATGGTATTTGTCGATCTAAATGATTAGTAAGGCTTATAGAAGATCGTGAAACGTTAAGTTTAAATAATTGACTTTTATAAGTCTAATCGTGCCAAATTATTAGTTTATTATGTGCTGTCTTTCTTTAGTAGCATTTTCGAAAGCCTTTTGTTAACGTATAGTCAATAGAACAGCTGTGTCTCATACACCATCTGATTCCTCATTCAAGTTTTGCCCAAAAACGCTTTACAAAGCAAAGTGGAAAAGTCAAGATAATCTCTAATGTGCAAGAAGTAGATCTTGAATTGTGTTGTGGATCTTGAGGAGAAATGTTCACAATACATGTGCATGGAAACAGAAGGGGAAACAGAGAGTGTTAACTTTGTTATTCCTATTCACAAACATACATTTGTGTGTACAAGTAGTGACATTCACAGTCTCTCAAGATCCTTGTGACCTCTTGTATATCATATGGAATTGTCAATTATCTTCTACTTACTTGATATCTTAATAAAATTTTATAGCTTTGCAAGGATCTGTGATACACATATTTCTAGTAACATTTTATTAGTGAATTTCTCATACAGATCTGTGCACTAATGATGACAGCAGAGGGACGCAAGTCTCCTGTCCATGTCCATGTGGACAGAGAGACCCCTGTTCATGTGCATCTTAAAAAGAAGAAAAAGGGAAAGCCTGGTGTTCCAACAGCTGTAGAGGTCTGTTCAAATTCTGTATTTTTTCGGATTCCTAAGAAAATTTGAAGACATTTGCAAGAGTACAACAAATTAGTTCACTTGCCAATGTTACTTCAAACACTGCAAAATGAGTAATTGATAAAAAGGAGAATCACTCAGAAAATTAATTAACTTCCTTGAGGAAAAAAAAAAGAAAAAATTGGGGAGAAGCTGAGGCACTCCCTTTTATGGCCTGCACAGGGATGTGCTGCTGGACAGGGTATGATTTTTGACCTCTCTGTCCTAAACAGGATATATAATTTTGTGCAAGTCTGTTCTAAACAGGATATATTATTTCGTGGGAGTCTGTCCTGATTATAAGCAGGGTAACTACTTGCACAATTGATTTGATTTGCCTGATGAAATTTGTTAGTCCTTTATACAAAAGCAATGACTGTAAGGTAAATTTGCTCTATTGCAATTGCCAGTGAATGGCTTTAAAACAAAATGGCATGCATTTTGTCCTTTGTCCCAAACAGGGTAATTAAATTAAGGATGTTGTCCTTGAAGGGTATATATTTTAGGATTTTTTTTCCTAAACAGGGTCAAGGTTTCAAACCGTCAGCAGTTCACCTATACCCAAATATTAGTTGAGTACCCCCTCCCTGGGGAGGGTGCGGGGTAGGGAAGAGCTATTGTTTGTTCCATTGTTGCAAAAACCTTGTCCTTATAAAGTCTCTCCCATTGGTTGTGGCCAAGAAATTAAAAGTAGGCATGCACAAGCAATGCCAGTAAAAGCCCCATGGTACCACCTTCTTGGTGTTTGTAGAGGCAAATCCTCCTCCTTCATATGCCCTTAGACTAACCTGCTTTCTGCTCTCCTTCGATAAATATAAAATTTGAAAATGTTTAGAACATGGAACTTTCTTTAATAAGCGAGATTGATGATTCTTTTTATAGCAACGACTCAAGACCAAGAGAATGAGTGGTTTGACAAAATCTGTTGTAAGTACAGTTATATGTGGTTTGGTTACAAACTTATTAATTTTATATACTTCCATGGATCATTCTGGCTATATCAGAATAAAACTGTGCGTAGAAACCTGCAGTCTGTTAATGTGAGGTATTTATTTAGACAGAATCCATCAGAAAATTGAGTAATTTTTTTGGACAAAAACCTTGTAACAGAATATTCAAAGCCATATCACATTATTTTTTGCACTTTTTAAGGGCTATAGAGGTAATTTGTTTTCTATAATAACACCAAAGACAATTTCTTATGCAAGCCTGTGAAAATAAATTTCAAATTTCACAGGAATTGAGAAAACACAGGTAAAATCATCATGCATATTAGGTTTCATTTTGTGAAATTTGAAGTTTTTGAAGTTTGTTTTCTTGGGCTCCTATAAGAACCTTTTCTTTGGAGTTATTTCAGATAACTTATTACATTTATAGCCCCCAAAAAGTGTAAAAAAAAAACTGCAATATGCTTGAAATTATTCTGGTACAAGGTTTCTGTCCACTGAAAATTAACATTGATTATTAAATTTCCTGATGGATTCCATCTTAATATATTTTACAAATCAATGCATTATTGGGCCAATTACTATTTTATTACAGCAAACACCTATCCAAGACACCAAATTTTCCCAGTCATGCAAATCACTACAGTATATGTCGAATCTCTCGTAAGCGACTGTGACCACATTTTTCAATGACAGTTTTAGAATTTTCCATTGTTTTTACCCTCTTGTTAGTAACTCTTTGACCCATGGTTTGATCTGTGTGTTTGCTGAATGTACCACACTACTCAGAGTATGCAAAGAACAGCTACAACATTACAGGATATTATTTTTTTATACAACATGAACAATGCTGTGTTCTAAGAAAAATTGAAGGGACACCAGTCCTCTGAATCTGTAAAATCCGGATTGCCCAGCATATGATCTGTTTGAAAAAACTAAGATTTTCTAGTTGCCCAAGATCAAAAGTTGGGTGCCATGGGCTCTTCTAACCCTAACCCTAATAACTTTACATATTGTAACTTAGAAATTGCATGTAATGAATCTCTTTCAAAATGTACATGTAAATTAATGTTGTTAAACCTTTTAAGGAAGGGAGCCCTTGTGAATGAATTCTCATTCAGCTGTACATGTAAGTGACCACCTCTTATATAAGCGTCTACTAAATATTCCCATCATTGGTCGCTTACAGGGGGTTTGACTGTAGTCTGTTAATAAATGCTATAAGTTACGAGTCAAAAATAAATATTATTACAATTTATCATTGATATTATTAATATTGTTTATTTGTAAAATTGACTTGGCATTTTTAATATTCTTGACATTTCAGGGACAGAGGAAAGCCATGAAATCCTCAGGTTCTCCACCCTTTGTACCCCCTCCTGGAAGAACATCAAGAAGGCCCTTTGCTTGGGAGGTTGGTAACGTTAACTTTTTTTTTCCATAAAAATGATGTAAATAATATAGTAAATTATAAGCCCTCCCTGTTGGACATTAAATTTTTTTAGTTTCATTAGTCAAGGAAATGTGTTTTGTCAAGCCTAGGGACTTACTGTTGTCCTTTCATCCTCATCATCACCACCATTACTCTTAATGTGCCAAAGGGCACTAGTGCCATGATATACAGTCACTGTCCTCTGGCAACAAAGAAATCTTAGTTTTGGCTACTACTCTCATACACAAAGGAAAATGTGTATACATGTATTCATTGAACCAAGGTCTACAGCTGTAGGATACAGGGCTCAAACAAAAGCCCCATCAAGTAATCCAGAACTAGTAGAATTTCAAGCTGGGCAAGTAATTTTTAGAACTCCACACACTTGCCCACCTTTAAGGGTCCAGGCAAATCATCCTCTAACAAAATCATTAACTAAGACAAGCAATAAGTGACCCTGGGTTAGGCAAAATGTGAGAGCTGCTTGCCCAAAGGACAAGCTGGAAGGAAAGTTTGTTTTCGAGCCCTGGGATTAAGGTAATAATTGAAGCACAAAGTTAATCATCATATACGATTTTGCATTTTAATTTTGTGTTTCAGCTGTACTTTATTTTTGTTTATTAGGGTAGTTCTCATCGTTTGGAAATAAGTCCTCCTGCTGGAGGTGGAACTTTACGAATGGAAGATCTTTCAACCTCTGAGGTATAAAGTAACGGACCTGTTAAGAAAATCATTGTAATTATGTGCCTTTATATGCAACAAAAATTGAACACTTTTAGGAGTGAATTCAATACTTACCTAAATTGCAGAAACACAGTACAGTGAAACCTTGTTAATGCAGACACTGGTGAGGGGGCCAGAGAAAGTGTCCATATTATAAACAGGCTGTCTGTATGAAGCAGGTCATGTTTTTTCAATAAAAAATAAACCCTCCTTTTATTTGAACAAAATAATAAACAAATAAAACAGGACAATAGCTTTGTCAAATTACAGTTTTGTAAACATCTCTAACTTTCACAAAGCATTCATTAATTGCAGGCTAAGTCCGTGGAAACACTCAAAAGTTGCTCATCTAGACATTGTAGCATGTAGTTACTCAAAGACTGTTCTCTGCATATCTCCTTTGATGCCAAAATAGTCTGAAATTGACATCTAACTGCAATTCATCCTATCAGGTGTACTGTGGTGCTTGAAACACTAACATGCTGTCAACACAGTCAATTAACTTTTAATATTAAAGAAGTTGAAATGTTACAGCTTTAAATGTATGTGGAAATAGGTTTGATAGAGCAAGGTTTGTAACAGCTTGATCAAGTGTACAAATGTATTTTTATTTTATTGTATGAATGTTCTAAAACTTACCAGGAAGAGGAAGTAAATGGAAGGATAAGATCTTATGAGAAAAAAATTGGCAGTTTGATGACAGAAGTTGGATCTCTGAAGAGTGAGGTTTGTCAAAGTTTAAGTCCTCAGTCATGACTAATTTTGATCTTACCAATTTTACACTTTCTTCATTTTCCTTCCCCCCCCCTCCCCCCTCATCAAAGTACAATATGGTCTTACCCATTTATGTGCTGTGTACACAATGGATAGAAATAGCTTGCCCACGGTCTTTTTATAATAGCCACTTAACTATTAATTTGTTCTCTGAGGGCACAGTCTATACACATACTCTTGTTTCAGAGTCCCAGTAATGGCCACTTTAAAAACATGAGGGACCCTTCCACGTTTTTTTTTTCCAACTTTTGACTGGGAACAGTTAGCGAAAATCCGTCAACACAGCTAAAAAGAACGCCTTAAAATTAGTAAGGATGCCAAGTTTGAAAGTAATTAGCTAAAGCTAACAAAGAAATAGCTTCACTAAATTTTACAGACGTTTGTATGGTGGGGGCAAGCTTGTGACTCCCCCCCTCCCTCCAACATTCAAAGGTCTGTAAAATTTTGTGACTTTGTGGAGCTATTACCTTAACTGGCTTTTAACGAAACACCTTTAGACTTGGTAAGTTTCAATTATTTAGGCACTCTGTTTTTTCTTTTGCCCAAAAATACTTTCATGCATTTATTTCAAGGTGGCCATTTAATTATCAAAACGTTTCACTGTACTCTGGAATAGAGATAATGGATATAGATGGTGTTGAAGTGTTAAAACACTACATGAGGGGATATTTAAAAACCGTCTTTTTTTCAAGGGTGTCTTAAATCATGTTCCGGCCTTGAAGTTAGCAGTTTGTACCTTTTTCTTAGAGGGATATTCGTAGGGCCAGACAAGCTGTAGAAAAGAAAGATGAGCAGCTGAATGCTTCTAGAAGGATTCTTGAGGTGCAAGAAGATGAACTTTTGGTATGCCACTGTTATTTTCTAGTTTCTTTTTTATGATTCCTCAATCAGGTTTCTTTACATGTGATTGTAGTTTACTGGTCATTTTATAAATTGAAAATGGTCTTTCAGCACCTATTGATTGCCAGTAGGCTATGCAAACCACAAGGCCTTAGCTAGAGCTGTACTTTGCCCCTTTTAGGGTTACAAGCAAGAATTAAAAGCTACTGTCAAGGAAAATGAAGCTTTACGACATTCAATAGAGAAATGGAAAGAAGATGCCAATGTGTCAAGGTTGGTGACGTGTGTCAAAATCTGCAAACTGCAATTAACATACCTTCTGTGTCATTTGTTTGTGTCAGGGGTTCCTGTAAAATAGTAGGTACAACCTGTGCAGTGCAGCTACCGGGGTATTTTGAAGTGTTTTTCGCAAAATCGTCACAATATGTAATTATGTACCTTAAGGCCGTTTCTTACTTGAATTTTCCACATCTCAGTTGATTTTTTTTCCACTATATATTGCTTACTGCGTCACCTTGCAGGACGGAAGTGGGTAAATTAGCTGGAGAGAGAGCCTCACTCTTGAAGAAACTAGTAGAGGTGGAAATGGATGGCAAGGCAGCTGGCGAACAACTAATAAAACTAAGAGACACTATTCGAAAGTTAAAGGAGGTAAAGCTACTTAACACGTCCTTGACGTAACTGACTTCTAACATGATAACACTGCCTTAATTTTACACAAAACAAAAAAATTTCTTAGGCATGTAAGTCGGTCTTCTTTTTCCAACCAGGACAAACGCATGTCAGCTGCTGATACTACCCTGTTGACAAGACAAAGAGAAATGTTGCTTCAGAAGTTAGACGAGTTTGAAAGAACTAACAAAGCGTTACGAAGACTACTTAGAGAACAACAGGCTACAGAGGTATTGCAGAGCAACTTGATCCTTGATTCGCGCTTAGGCTTTTGTAGTCACCGTCGTTATTGTTTTCTGCGTTTACTTTTTTCTGTGTGTTGGTTATTTTTTTATCTTCCTTTTGCTTATGAAGCCGTTGCAGGCGTTTGTTATGACAGTTGCAAAGTGGAGTTCCCTCGCTGTTTACGCTGTTCTCGCCATTTTTTTGTCCTTTCCGTCTTTGTGCCGTCTGTTCTTCCTCTTCGCCCGGACCGGTCAAGTTAAACCTGGTTTCAGTGACTGAAGAAAAAATTCTGGACGAAAACCATCGTTACAGAATACAGATCGTAATCCGGCACTAGTCAGGGAGAGGAATTTTTTTTGCCTACCATTACCCTCTTCAGGTTGGAAATTGTTGTGGATAAGCCTCCAGCAATAACTGAGTAGGGCCATTTATACGAGGAAAAATAAGACGCGTCTTAAATAAGACAAGAACTGTACCATTTATGCGAGCATGTCTTATCTAATAAGACGCGTCTTAGCTAAGCCGCGTGTTATTTTAGACGAAATGTGCCGTTTATACGGAAAGTTCGCGTCTTATGTAAAGCGCGTCTTATTTTTCCTCGTATAAATGGCCCTAGTGACCTTCAAGTAAGCTGGCCTGGACAATCTAAAACAGCATAGAAATTGCATCGACTCAAACGACGGCCCATATTCTGGTTTTCTACAGCTCCTCAAAGGAATGGCACGAAACGGAACTATTTGATATTCCAACTGGAATTTCAGCCAGATTTTCCTTCGTAACTATCAAAGTGGTAATCACCCTTTTTCATGCAGTATACTGTACGTTTCTCCTGATTGAAAGTCTACTGAGCTGTTTAAAAATGGCTAAAAGAACTTGCTGTTTTCTTTCTTGCTCAACAGGAAGAACACGATCACTTACGAAAACAACAAGAAGTGTTGCTTAAGAGACTAACACAGTCCGACACTAGTAATGAGGTAAAAATGCGGTGTTGATAAATTATATCACATTTGAAAAAAAAAAAACACTCTATTTGAGACTCAACGTATTTAGCACGAAAGTTGAGGACTATTTTTACCTCTCCTACTGGAGACGGGACCGAGCCAGGCGAAGGTCTAGTGCCTCCATTTCTCAGTTATTTTAAGAACCTGAGAATACTCCCGGCCTCTGTAATCGAACCCGCGACCTCCCGCTCTGCAGTTAGGCGCTGTACCGACTGAGCTAATCCTGCCGCATCATTCAGTATATGAATTTCGGATTTGAAAGAAGCCAGCCTTTATCGTTTGCGCCGAGTAGTGGTACAAAAAATTGTTTACCGTTACTGCGGCCTCATTATTTCCTCCCAAGTGAACAAAACGAATATAGCCATTTTCTTAAAATGTAAAAATTTCCTCAATGCTACCGCGTCATTAAAATGCCAACCGTTTTGGGTGGCCACTTGACCATACGAGACCCATAAGAGGAGTCCTGGGTCTGTGGGTGTTGTCAGGTATAAGATTATTAGGAACCTTAAGATCAGAGGACAGCGACGGCACCGAAAAAGTTGCTTGAAAAGTGAATTCGCCTTCTTTCAATCTTCATCGCGATTTTTCCAACTCACTTAATCAAATGTAGGCGAAAGTTGACTCTCCTAGAGTTGAATTCCCAGGAACCATATCCAAGTTGAGAAAGAGAAAGACAATTTCGACATTGCTTGTTTACGTCCTCCATAAAAGGTGAAATCAGGCATTTTCCCGTCTTAGTCGTACATCAGTGACAGCAACGAAATGTACAAAAAAAAGTTTGCTGCACGTGCAGACCTATTATAAAACTATTCCTTTTTCTGCAGCAAAGTTCTCGTTGCCGTCGCCGTCGTCGCATCTTAACGTCCCTATTACCTTCCACGACATCTTGACGTAACAATAAGCGGCATTCGCAATTAGTTTCCTTTTTTTCTCAGCGTTTACAGGTGGAAGTGACTGAGAGAGACAGACAAATAGAAACGTTACTGGCACAAGTAGAAGCTGATAAGGTTAGTGCGATTCTAGACATCTTAGCCAATATTCACACTATACCGGAATCGGATACCTTTTCGTACCAACACGACAAGCTACCCGGTGTCGTGTGAACACCTATCGATGTATGACTCTTCACTATAGAGAACTACGTAGCGCACCGTTCCAAAAACCGCGCCAAAATCACCGTTTTTATCTGTGAATAGAAGGCCTATCCGGTATGGTTTTCCTGCCGGCGCGAAAGCTATCCGGGATAATGAGAACATAGCCTGGTCAGTGTAAAATTATAACAACACTCAACGTATACCTTATCTTCAGTTTAAACAGAATTTTCCCGAAAATGCCGGGTTAAGACAGAACAATTCTAAAGAGATAACAAACACACTTTGGAAGGTAGAGGGTAAGAACTCATACATTATCTTTTGTTTATTTGTTTTGTTTGGTCTGCGTTACAGGATCAAGCCGTTGCGTTTGAAGACCTCAAGAAAACCATGGAAACAACGCGAGCCCATCTTCAAAACCAACTCCGTTCTAAGGAAATGGAATGCGGCAGACTGTCGGTACAGATTAGGGTAAAGATTTCTTTAATATGGCTTTTTTATTCTTCGATAACAGAACTAAAGATGGTATTAGAATCCCGTATTCTGAAATACTGGCCTCCGAGCAAGCTCTTCATTGGGGGATATCGCCAGAAGTCACGCGCGCCCGGGACACGAGAAGAGACGAAGAAGCGCAATATATATGACGTTCTCGCGCGGCTTGCTTCGCCCGACACTCAAAATAGAGAGCTTACTAGCAGGCTACGAAATACTTGTTATCGAGTCGAGATTTTGCTTGGAGTCATATTTTATCTTAGCCTGCATTTCTCGCCTGTAGCGGAAGGCAATGAAGAAAGTTTGAGAAGTGGCTGTATGCGTAGGCTACACTTCCCTTATGTATTTTTTTCTTCCTCTTCTTCTTTTTTTCTAGAGCCTTGAAGATCAATATGAACATGGAAGATTAGAATTGGAACATATGCAGGGTTTAATCGCCGCACAAAGGGTAGCTATATAATACGTATATTTGTTTTGCCCTAGTTTTTTTCTCTCTCTCTCTCTCCCTTCTCTTCTTCATTTTAACTCATTAAATTTTTGTACAAGTGGCTAAATTGGCAATAGCTCATTACAAGACTCACTAAAGAGAGGTCCTCTCTGTATGTTACAGAACAGTCATTGTTTCTTCACGTTTCTTTCTAAATTACATGCTACACGTGACAGACGTCACTGGAACCTTTTCATGCACGCTCATTCAAGGAAAAATTGTATTACGTAAAACTTGGTTTTACGGCTCTGGTACAGCGTAGAAATCAATAAGCGATTTAAACCGAGAAAATGCTAATAAATATGCAAATCGGCTTGTTTTGCAACAGTATCTTGTTTATATTCTACTTTCATCGCATCTTACTTCTCCTCAGGAAAAAAACGGCAGAGAAAAAGAAGCTCTCAAGAAAGCTGCAAGGTAATTGAAAGGGAGCAGACTAAAGAGGCTTACTAGTTAGATAAAGCACCGCGCTAGCTGCGAACGACAGCAAGCCGTTTGTTGTAAAGCTTCCCGTCGACAGAACTGGAAACTATGTACAAAAATTGTCTAGAATATTTGAAAATTAGCTACTTTTTTAGGTATTAAACTAAATGTTTTCATATTTCTTAATTTTTGTTTGAAACTAAGTAAAAGACGTATGATACTCGGCAAGTGTTCTCGGTCGCCGTTCACAGTGACTGGACAAAACAGTACAGAGAAGTTGTCATCTTTCTTTGCTCGAATTTCAAACTCTTTTAGCTTTACAAACAGTACCTGTAGAAGAAGGATGCTAAACGAAACATAGCTCGATCAAAACAAGAAATAGTCGTTATCCTCGTTGCGCTGAAGCGGCTGCCGGCAAACGCGGGAAAAATCAGTTCACGTGACCCTCTCTGCCGTTCGCGGGGAAAAAAAATACGCGGTGAATGTAAAAGACCACCCTGCGAGAAAACAGAGCCTCCTTTAGCCTGAGAAAACAGCCGACATTTGGCGACGCTACCACTGGTTTCCCCGCCAAATGACATCTGAGAAACGAGCGCAGAAATTCCATACTGATAGAACGTCACAACCCAAGTCTGGGTAGCGCTTATGATTGGTTGAATAATATTTCCCGCGCGACACGACCTATCAGAAGCACTACCCAGATCTGGGTAGTGACGCGTCATCAGTATGGTATTTCTACGCTCGTTTCTGAGACGTCATTTGGGTGGGGAAACCAGTAGTAGCGTTGCCAAATGTCGGCTGTTTTCTCAGGCTAAGCCTACGTAATTTCTTGCGTTTTGAAATAACAGTTGGGTTCCCGCAGAGCGCTACAACTGAGCAAAGTTGTTGACATACTTTTTACAGGGTACAGAAAGACCGTGTGAGTGAGAGAGAAAAGGATTTAGAAGTTTTACAAGAAAAGTTAGCTGAAAAGGTACGGTATTCGGCTGGTTAAAGTGTGGCGACAAAGTTCAGCTTAGAGGGTTTCTCTTGCAACAAAATTTCTAAATATTTTCGTATTTTTAGGATATCGCGCTGAGTGAGACCAGGAGAGCAGAAGCAAGTTTAAAAGAAGAAAAAGGCGACGCTGATCTCGAAATTAGAACATTAAAAAGGTAAGTAAACCAACAAAGTTGTAGGAACCAAGGAACCTTGTCCATTTTGTATCATTCTTGAAAAAGCCTCAACGACAACGTGCTCAACCTCATCCCCAGGATCTTTCTTTCCAGTATCCATCCAATGTATGGGAACGAGGTTGAACAGGTCCTTTGCCGATACGGACTCTAATTTCTTCCCCCCCCCCCCCCCCCAGCCCCCCCTTTACTACTGACTTTAACATGACAGACCCAAGTTTTCATTTTATGGACGTGTCCGTATCATAGATGATGGAATTTTAGGAAAAGAATAAAGAGAAAAAAAAAGTGCGAGTACAACAAGACGCCTTCTCCTTTTGTTTTCTTTTAAAAAAACCCCTCAAAACACCAGGTCCCGCCCCCCCCCCGGGACATTTTTTCCAAATTCCAACCAAAATTTGGGTGAAGAGGGTAAAACATGCTTTCCCCCAATCGGCTTTAAATTTCCCCCCCCCCCCCCCCCCCTCCAACCTTCCCGAGTGTCATTGTGTTACAGTCCATAATCACTGTTTTCTTTATCTGTCAGTCGCATGAAGGAACTTCATGAATTAGTGGAGACCACGGAAAAAGCTTCCCAGGTAACATGATCAGGCTATTGTACAGCTATTGAGCGAGGCTAATTCGGCTTTATCATTATACTATAAACTGCCGCTCATATCCCCACATATCACTGCCGATAGCTTGTTTCGAAGCGCCTTTTCTGTTACGGTTACAAACCCCCTCGACTAAAAGTACCTCCGTTTATAAGCCCTTCTAAAACCCCTTACGAAGATGTATAAGCAACAGTTAACGTTTGCCGAGCTGAACTTTGGCTTAACTCTGGAATCCTACTTGAAGGAAATAACCGATAAAAAACTGACTTAACTGACGAGGGCAGAACATCGACATGTCAGATGGAACAGGTACAACGTCACAAAACCAGCGCAACACTTTGACCACACAGACAGCGAGCAGAAGAAAGTTGATTCTTAACCAGTGCTACCAGCCAGGATTATCTGTTTCCATTTTATTAAAACTGATCGATATAGCTGCTCGGAAATAGGACCTGCAGTGAGATTTTTGTTGTTTTTGTTGTAGAAAAAAAATGGGGGTCTTCGTACTCGTTTAGGAGCAGGAGAAACTTGGATATACCAATAACTCCTTAGAATACCAACATGATTATAATTTCTGGCTCACCCACTGTCTTCCCCTACCCTGAACTTCGCGCTCGCTCTTGTTTCATTTGCCAATTGCTGCTTTCCTTGAATTTTGTGTAATGAGAATAGAAAGGCTGTGAACAGTCATTTGCTCTAAGACTTCCTAGAATAGTCAACCCATGAGCCGCACCAACGGAAACAGATCCATATTTAATTTATAGCTGCTTCAAGGAAAAAGTGTTGGCAAGAACTGATCAACGTTTACCTTTGTTTGATGGTTTCAGAGTAACAGCGAGACCTTAACTGCTAAACTGAGCACAAGAACTCAAGAGGTTAACGCTCTCAGACTGGAAAATGAACAACTCAAAGTAAGTGAATAGGAAGGTAACCTATCCTTCTGGAACACTGAGCCGCAACTTTGAATCCGCCAGAAAACCAAGTTAATGTGTCATTAACGATGCCTATAAGAAAGAGATAAAATATTGTCACAGTCAGTCTTTAGTCAGATTAAAAATGAGTTGTAGCAAGGTACAGTCGAAGCTCTCCTTGCGACCACTCTCGTAAACGACCAGCTCTAGTTACGACCACATTTGTGAAACCCCGTTGGAACTGTTATAAAAAGCTCTCGCAAGGGACCGCGATCACTTTGGTATTAGCCAACTGGACTTTTCCCTTGTTTTTAAGCTCTCGTAAGCGACCACTCAACTCATTCTTGCACCAGTATTTAAAAGTTGGACCTAAAGTGTAGCCGTGCTTTTTTCTTTATGAATTATTAATGAGTTTTGAAGCTAACGTAAGCGGGCCACCCTCTATTGTTTTACCATGTAGTCGCTAACGAGAGCTCATTACTTGGGCGGAGGGCCAAGTAAAGGTTTCGCGACGCTCAAGAATGTCGCAAAGTTGTTCACGAAGTGAGACCGGAATTGCTTCGAAATACCTCGAGAGGATAAATTGAAAAACCTCAGTACAACTTGCACGTTCTTATTTTGAACGAGCATGTCCAGACATTTACGATTCTATCTCAGCAAAATAAGGTAGACATTACATAACGTTTACAAACGATTTACAGTAACTGTTGTCAGTGATTTAAAAAAAGCGATTTTGAAATAAACGCCGTATTGGAAACGCTAAGAATTTAATAAACGCGGCAGCGTGAAATCGAATAAATACGGTAATATCTTGCACTGGTGGGCTTCGTGCGGGAAATGGAAGAAAAGGTGCAAAAATAATCGCTTGGTTCAATTGAAAATGATTGGAACGATAAAATGGTTTAAAATGGAGCAAGTGGTGAAAATTACTTGGTTTGCCGCTATCTTGACTTCTAGTTTTATTAACTTAAACGATGGCCACAACGGCTACAAGCGTTGGTTCGCTTGCTTCTTAGCAAAAAAAATGTCAAAAATCGATCATTTGTGATCTTCTGAAAGTATCAAGGAAAGGGCAGGCTTTGAAGTTTTTTGTTGCTGTTACTGTTCGCATCGTGTTTAAGCAGCGAGTAACGAGAGATACGATCTAGCCAAAAAATGTGGTGTCTCCTATCAATCTTGTTCTCACAAGTATTTTTTTTTAAAGGCTGACATCGCTGCATTAGAAGAGCGGCTTCACGATGAAGAACAAAGGGCCTCTAGCAAGGTAAGACCCTGCTGTAAATATTGTCCGCTGCTTTGAATTTTTCGAGGTAGGTTTACGGTGTTACGGATGGTGCATCGCTAAATGGCATGGGCTGCAACGAGACATTTACCGACGATGACATACATGATAAGAAACACAAAAAGCTTTGCCGACAACGTGTTGTACTTGCGAGCACACAGGTTTGTATAACTGACAAGTGACAAATAACTACATACGTGTTTGTTCGCTTTCCTGTCGCCATCTTAAAGAAGACGAAAAGCACGCAAAGCAGGGATAGTTTGCTTTTCATTTTGTTTTTCATCATAAACCGCTTCAAAAAAGAGGCTGAATTGTTAGGCTTTGGTTTAAAGGATTATTAAAAGCAGTGATTTGACAATTTTGTCAATGTAGCATCTTTTGATTTACTAGTCATTCAAAATATTTCTCCGTTTCTAATTGGCTCAAATCCTTCCATTAATTCTCCATAACCAGCAAACATGGACCAAACTAGGTAGACGTTTTGCGATATCCGATAAAATGATGTCAATAGTCCAGACTATCGCCAGATAAATGCACAGCAACCGAGAAGCCCTGGGAACGAGGTTAAACGGAACAGCAGCTTGTTAGTGTATTGCTTACTATACCTGCTTGTATTACTGGGTGTTCTTTGAAAATATACAACTCCGAATAAAGATGATTTAAACGAATTTAGACAAATCTAACTCAGAATTCAAACGTTTTTGTTCATTATGATACATTCCTGCAAACATTGATGAGTGAGGTCTAATTTTTTACGAGCTTCGACTGATGTCTGCTTCAGCAAAATTGCGCACAGAAACTAGTCACAAATTTGATGGGGGTGTAACTGTTCATATTCCTTGCGATTCAATTCGATTTCAATTATTGTCTTTCGGTTTCGATTATTTCGATTCGATTATGTAAATGTTTCTTAATTCTTATAACATAACGTGTAATGTTAACAACATGCAACCCTAAACCCTCAATTTAAGAATAGTAACAGGGACAGGAGGATTCACAGTCGCTTGGTTCGTCGCCATGTTTGAGAACCTGACAAAGATAATTTGCCTTATTTGGAAATTCTCAAGGGGTGGTTGAAGGACAGCATTTTTACCGGGCAACACAAAATGGCACACCAACTGCTATCGTCTTTGCTCGTCAATAACAAACGCACATTTTAAAGAGTTCTGGATTCTGATTTTACAATATAATAACTCACTGAGGGCACCCTGGAAAAGGTATGCAAAAATCGAAGGAAAATCGAAACGTGGAAGCAAAGGATCGTGAATCGAACCGAACGGTCATAATCGCGATTAATCGAGAATTCGATTAATCGGCTTGACTTCAGTGGGGCTGAATAATGGCTCTGAGGGCATATAAGAAGAATAAGATGACTAGGAGGGTCAGAAATAGTTTTAATTAGGTGCACACTTGTAATCATTAGAAGGGATAGTTAGTGTCAGTGTAGTTAGCTTGTTAGTGAGTCAGTTGTCATGCATGTGGCAGGTCAAGGCGGCTCAAGAAAAGGTCACAGATTTATTAACAAACATGAAGCATTATGATGAAATGGTGGAGCAGTACAAATTTAAGGTACAGTAATGAACAACTTTTTCGCTGAGAAGTTGCTTATAGTTGCCTAATATGCATTTTTGCCCAGCAGCTCAGTGTTCTAAAGAAAGTTTATGCAAAGTGAAGTTGTTTATTTTTCACCGTTTTTAGAGAATGTGAATTTTTTTTTCCCTCAAGGCTATAGTCCTTAGTGTCAAATCCGTCTTTATCGTCACTTATCTGTAGCTGAAGTATCGCACCAAATTGTTTAAGCACCCAGTGGGAACTAAATAATACTGAGGAATAAAGGTTCGAAAACTTTTGTCAGACTTTCGTCCTTGTCTGCAACTTACATTTTCTGCACATTAGCAACTTCCAAGCTTTTTGGCGGGAACACAAAGTGGTGCAGACTCGCAACCATTTCCCAACGGCTTATAACATCCGCCGCTGACCCTACTGCCCGCAAGTGAGGAGTCAGATTTCTTTGTAACGAGTGCATATACCTTTATCACGGTTAGGTGAACACATCAGAAACAGAGGTTAGTCATCTTCACGATAGCGTCAGCGAGTACCAAGCGAAGTTAGAGCAGCTTAGAAAACAGGTAGATCGTTAGAGTAAAAAGCCGGTATTCAAACCGCTGAACAGTTAGATGTATTATCAGTTCATGCAATACTTTTCTTGAGAGTGAATGCGATGTGTTTGCTTCTAAATAAATCAGAGTTTTGGGTTTCCATGCATTGTTTAAGTGTTCCCTCTGTTTTATCCAGCTGCGCAACTCTAAATTATCCTTTGAATAAATAGAAATGTACGTGGAAACATATCTTGCATCGAAAAGAAGGTTTAACTGACGCCTTACTGATTTAATGTTTATTTATCATAACTTTATGGCTGTTTCGAAATCCCTAAACTGTTAGCACAGGAAAGGGGCAGGGGAGAGGGCTGTTAACGATTTACTGATTTCGGTAGTATTGTATGCCATCAAATCTGTTTTGTTCTTTTTTAATGTCACTGCACAGCATCGATCTGACAAAGATGAAATTAAAAATCTGAAAGTTTGCTCCGGGGAATACGAAGTTATGCTTCATGAATACAAGAACCAGGTAGATGACATGTAGATAATACAGGCAACAGGAGGCACCACTTAGACAGAAGTACTTAGCTAATAAAGACAACATTATATGCGATATTATTGAAGTGATATTTGCTCATATTTCCCTGCCGGTTCACATTATGAGAAGCAAAACCTTAGGAAAATTACCAGCAAAAGAAACGAACAGACAACAAGACAAAAGTATGATCAATTATGTAGTAAGACGAATCCTCTAATCATACGAATCCACGCTCCAACTATGTTTGTTCACTCAGAACAGCTCAGCGAATTCAATATAACTCAGTATTAAAGCACAGGATGCCTAATGAAATATTAAATCGAGATTGATGGTCGTCTCGTGAGGAAGTTGATTTGTTTTGGCCTAGTAATCGTTACTAAGACAACACAAATCACATTGCTTACTAAGTAATGATCGACCCTCCTTTTGTAGATGTTTATGTTTATGCCGAACATTAACTCTCAGAATATCTTGATTATTATGGTGCGGTGGTGTTAAGTTTTAGAATAGTTACAATAATGAGGAAGTCTGTTAAATATAGGCAATTGAGGGAGCTAACGTCACTTGGATTTATCTGGCAGATAGTAAGTTACGAGGCGGAAATAAATAACTTGAAGGCAAACGTCAATCATTCAAATCATTTGTTGGAGAACCACAGAACAAGGGTAGGTATAACGATAAAAGGTTAAACTTGTCTACCAACCGTGCGCCGAGTTATGCACATACAGAGCTCCATGTGCTGTCTAATTGTCTTCATCTGTTTTTATGGCTGGAAATGCCACCTTAAAATGATGCGAAATCGTGTTTTCGAGGAAAAATGTATGGTGAATTTGGAAGGCTATTCGGCCACACCCTTTGATATGCTCTTTTACTGAAAGACAGTCGAATTTCCATTGTAAGCTACCATCTCCCATATACGACCAACTCTCCAAAACACCAAATTTGTTTCAGTCAAGCACAACGGTTGGAACCTCCCGTAAGCGACCGTTACCACGTTCATGTCGAATTTTCCATTGTTAGTTTTCACCCTCTTGTAAGCGACCACTTGGAGTATGGTTTGATCTCTTTGTTGGCTGAATGTCCTACACTACTCAGACTATGCAGAGAACGTTTACACGTATTGTAACTTAAAAATTGCATGCTTTGAATTCTCTTCCAAAATGTACATGCTTTTAAACCTTTTCTAGGAGGAGACCGTTTGTTAGGGACTTTAAGATTCAATGACGCGACTGCAACTATAACGTCTAAAAAACAATAGCTTTAATAAGCAAAACAACTACTTTGCACGTGCATCACGCTTTTTTGTATATTTCTTTGCCGTTTTTGCACGAGTACGACGTGAAAATGCCTAATTTCGTGTTTTATGCATGGAGAACGTAAACAAGGAACGACGAAATTTTATCTCGGTTTCAGAACTTGAATATGGTCCCTTGGAAATAAAATTCACGAAGGTTCGCGTATATTTGACAAAAATAGGTAAGTAGGAAGAATCGCGATAAAAAAAATAAGACTAAAAGAACGCAAATTCACTTTTTAAGCGACATTCTCTTTGCTGTTGCGTCGTTTGATCTTAAAGTCCCAAATAATTATCGTAAGCGACCAATAAGTTTTCGTATTCTGGGTGGTCGCTCGCTAGGGGTTCGACTGTATTTCTGTTCCTGATCCTGTCATTCACAGTTTACGTACAGCCAAGTTGAGATTGCTCAGCTCCACACAGCTGTTAAGGAGTACGAAGATATTATTCGCGAGTATAAAGTACAGGTAGGGTAGATAGCGAGATAGTCCAGTAAGCTGTAATGTGCAGGGAGAGAGGTATTAGAGATAGAGTAGTTTGGACGATAATTACCAAGTCATTCTTTTTTGTTTTGTTTTTGTTTTTGTCTTTGGCGTCGTTTTGTTTTGTTTTGTTTTATTTTATTTATTTTTTGTTTGTTTGTTGTGAATGAAAATGCATCAGTTAATTAGAATCTTCCACTCATATACGCCGGCATTGCGTTGTTGCAACAAGGAAACGTTAAAATCTGAAACAAGAAACCTTCCAAACTCTTCGCAACTCCAAAATGGTGCATATAGCAACCAGCCCCTTTTAAAGGCAAATATCCCTTCTCCTCTGCCTGTCTTGCTATCGATGTGCCATGAAGTTTGAAACGCAACAGCAGGCCTGAGTTAAGGCTGCTTCATCTTATTCGCTATCACTGCACGTCACAGCGTTGAAGAGTGCAGACGTGAGAGCGTGCGGCGTCCTGTAGGTAAATTACCAGGCATCCATGCAACCACGCCTCTAATGTACAAGTATGCACAAGATCGAGGTCAGGTGTGGTACCAGCTAAAATGTCGCCCTCGATTTTGGAGGTCACATTTTTGAACGCCTGAGCGTCTAAGTTCATACGTTTTCGGTTTACCGTGGTTTTATGTGCCCACGAATTTCCAATATGAGACACCGTACATCCTCTACTCCCGCCCAGCCCCGCCCCCACCCCTCCCTGCCTTCATGCGGATTGATCGGATATGGTGGATTCATGTGCTGGAAGTTCAGATATATTTGTTGATCTTCGAATGCATAACTTCCAACTTCTTTTGCCAAGTTCTTCGTGGAGAATCGATACCATTATCTTCGCTAAACTAAAAAAGCCCCTCCTCCCCCATCAAAGGTGCTTGAAATAAATAAGCCCAGGGGGCTTAGTAGAGGATTTACGGTATAATTGTTATTTGTCAACAGATCGACAAGTATCGTAGGGAAGCTGAAGAAATGAAAAATAGATTGTACGAGTACGAAGCGGATACACAACGAATGCAACAGGAAAATGCTCTGGAGAACGAAAAGGTAAATATCGCAAGTTTACATGTTTGAATGACTCAGACAAGATATTGCTTGAGACAGGAGCGGGGAAGGATGTAAGTTTCTGTTTACAGCTATTTCGAGAAAGTTTGTCGGAAAACATGTGTACGCGACAGCCCCGAGATCCAATACACTGTTCCTGACGACTGTAGCTGTCGAACCTACTTTTGTTGCTTTCCTTTAGCACTCGCAAACACATTTCCATGGCCTTTCGTGCCAATTCTTTCAAATTTCTTTGAAAAAAAAGAGAACTTAAAACCACCCACAATGCCTTTCAGGATTGTCGCGTGCACTTTTCCCGACAACCTTTCTCGAAATAGCTGTATATGCACTATCATTACGTATAAGCTTATACATATATTTTATTTCAGGTTAAGCTGAAAATGCAACAAAGGCTTCAAGAGCTCGAACCCCTTGCGGATCTACTGAAGGTAACTTTTTCTTTTTAACTCGTTATGAGGATAATATTCTTTACTTCACATGCACAATAGGTAAAAAATTTAAAACTGAATAATCGCAGGTGATTTTCGTAGGCAAGCTTCTTTTTCAGGGTCTTGACACGCCTGGAAGCGACATGGCGAGCTCTCTCCTTCGCAGGGGCTCCCACTTGGTATCCAATACACCAATCGAAGAAAAAATAACGGAAAGCTCGCCCATCGTTCCCCGAGCGCTTTCTTTTTTCCCTCTCCCTAGCCCCCTTGGGACACAAAGAGGCCGCTGCGGAGGAATTGCACAAGCCAATTTCCCCAGTTTGTTTGCATAGTGACATGTATGCGACATGTGACAATTCTTATCGGACTGACAAGTAGTTTTCAGCTGTCTGATTGGCTTGCGTAGATTATGACTCGCTATTTAGATAATATACTGATTTTCCGTTTACTTCATCAAAGACTCAAAAGTTTCGCTCAATGCTGCCCTGTACGCATCCCCTTTCCTTCTCTTTTTGCAACTCATTGACCGACATGTAGTTTGTATTCTAGTTTTCAACATCACCATAAAAAAAGGATTTATTTCTTGCTGTTTGAAGCCGTTAGAGAAATGTATAAAGAAAAAACTTGAACATTCTTTAGGTGGCTTGAGTTATTGGGAACTAGCCTGCGTGGCAGGCGCAAAAAGAGTAGGGGAAGGGGGTAGAGTGAGAAAGGCGCGAAAGGGAACCTTTCTCCACAATCCCCCCCTTTTTTCCTTCCTCTCAATCCTGTACTTGGTAACTAACTACGCGAGACTTTTTTCTATTTTGCTAGACGACGGACGTTCGACTGCAAGAATCTCAAGAGAGGATGATGGCGTATGATAGACGCTCCAGCGAGCAGACTAAGCTTATATCTGAGCTGACACAGAAGGTACAAAATGTTGTGATTTTGAAGTCGTGATATGTCGGTACCTAATTAAAGAAAACGCATGTGTTTTCCTTTCAGTCTAATAATCCCTCTCTCCGGACACCTCCCGATTGTGGGCCAAACTTCACAGAACCAATTCTTCTATATTGAATACTGTGTGATGAGAGTGTCCTTCTGGTTTCTGTATTGAGGATGTAAGCCGGTGTAGATCCGCCCTTTCCCCACACTGAAGGGGGGGGGGGGGGGGGGGCGGCTTTAAACAGGTTAAGGAGGTTGGACTGAAGCTCTGTTGTTTATGTGCCTTTCTAGTTGTCAATGCCATGGTGGCTACTTAAACTTCGAGTTATGAACATGTATAGGGGCACGGTGTCAATATGTAGATTCCCCTGTCTGTTTTTTTGGATTTTTGGATTTTTTTTTTTTGTGGATTCGTTGTTTAAACCCTGGAAATTATATTCGATCTCTGATATGTCTTTGTACACACTTAAGGTGGAGATGCAGACAGACCAATTAGAACATCTACGGGAAAAAGTAAGAACAGCGCAGGACGAGACTAGAAGCGTTCAAGCAAAGAACGAACTCTTGGAGAGGTTTGTTGACCAAGAACCTTAATTTGCCATGTTTGTGCTAACACACCGCAGCAATACTCCCACCTCTTTTTTTAATTTTCAGGAAATTGTCAGATTCTGATCAGCAGAACAGGGAACTTATTGGTGTGATCAGCAAGAAAGAGGAGTCTTTATATCAATCACAGGTTCGATCGATTTTTAGACTTATGGAATGTAGTGTCAGTCACTCAAAGTGAAACGAAATTCCATCCAAATGTATGAATAGTGTTAGGACGCACCCACACAAGCCAAAAGAAGATAAATGAATTCTTGACATGTTGATGAATCTAACCCACGATTTACGGGCTAGATAATCTTGCCTTACAGACTGAGCTAGGAGGCCAAACTTGAACAGTTCTTGGGTATTTTGTTGAAGATCTCGTAACCGTATTTCCACAATAGCGAAATCTCTTGCGATTTTTCTTGTATAGCAATGTTTTTGTTATGTTTTGATAAAGATCACGTTAGCCTGAAAAACGGCTGTTTTCGCATGCTACTTTCACTTGTACAATATCGTTAATGCTTGGTCTCGATTTGAATTTAATAGCAAAGATTTGAGGATCTTCGAGCGGAGAATATCAGGCTGAATCAACAGCTGGAGTCATCAGTGCTTGAAGCTAGAAGACAAGTGGACAGTCAAAAGGAAAAAGCGCTCGTTAAGGTGACAAAATTATTTTCCACTTATAAGAAGTGAGGAATCTAAAATTTCCTGCCATTGAAATGAAAACAGATGCTGGTAAAGTAACACCCGTATTTAGAGGACGCCCTTAATAGGGCTGTGATGTCACGGCGTGATTCGCTAAGGAACTTAACGTCAGTGAGGAGTGTACTCGTGAATGACAAAATCACAGTTTCCTACCGAACAAATATCTTTCCCAGAGCATTATATCAATCCAACCAGCGTTACAAAAAACAAAAATGAACTTTGAAAAGTTGCTAGGCTAACAAGTTTTCAAAGAACACAATTACAATGTAGTTTTTAAAACCTTTTTCAAATTTGTCTATCTGTGTCTTCTTTTGCATTTGCCGCGTTATGTATTCAAAGTAGACAGACTGCAAATTATATTAGCTGCTAAAAAATATATATCTACGTGTCGCAACTGTTCATCAGTATTGCTTCTTTTAGGGCCTGTTTACATGGAGGTGGGGGACCCCATGTAGGTGAGGTAACCCGCCTGTCCATAAAATCTCTCTTTTTAATTTGATCACGTTTAAATAATATGGGTGGGGTGACCCGCCACATGTTACCTCACATATGTGGGGTCCCCCACCTCCATGTAAACAGGCCCTTATTGAATTGAGCCGTTATTTTTATGTTTCATACAAATAAGTGGAAGCTCTCACTATTACAGACACCTCTATTGAGGACCGTTTCCTTGGTCCCAAACACAGCCAGCTTCATACATACTCTACCTTCATATAAAGGACGCTTCCCGTCTATGCGAACTCTTGACTTTGTCTCTTTCGTATCACTTCGAGTCGCTTACTCCCTCAGTGACGTCACTACCCGAAAACTGGGTAGTGATTTTGGTTGTTTGATTGTCCAGTCGTTCGCATTATTATGTATATTTATGAGCAATTGTCGTGCGACTGTCGTTTGATTTTCCGCGGATCGAACGCTTACTTGGAGTTAAAAAATGTTGGCAATCTTTATCGTAAACAGCAAAATTGCCCTTGTCTTTGAAACTATGACTTGTTAAATTGAACTGCGAATGAACAGTCAATGCTGAGAGTCGGTAGGTTTTCATTTAGCGCCGCTTTGTGGTTGCAGCAGTGATTTCGTTTATGCAAAGTATCAGTGATCGATTTTTGTGAGATTTACAATTCGAACTTCCGCTCATTTCCTCCGTAGAATGTAATGATTCTGTTAGCTTTTCCTTCTTGTTTTCTGACTTTCTTTGTTCGTCGTTAAGGACCAAATAGCTTCTTTTCAATTAAAGCAAATTGCTGTGGTCTTAAAGTGTTCTGTGTCAGGTGTGTGTATTTCATTGCGTGATTGATTATTGAATTATGGCGCTATACATCAGATACATGCAACAAATTAGTTCAGAGTACTGCATGCAGTTAACAGTTTGAACGTTAAACATGAATTACGATTTGAGAATAAAGCAATTCTATACCATGGAGACATTTCCGGAAGATATTTTTTCGTTTGCTAGTTGAAAATCGTGTTTTACTTTTTGAACGAATTAAAGCAAAGGAGTAGTGACGTCATTGGACGGCATTAACGGCTCGTCGATTCAGACGTCGCTGAGGGAGTGAGCGGCTCGAGGTGATGTCGGAAATTCAGGCTATCTATCGGAGGTATTTCTTGTAATTACGTCTCATTTTGCTTTGATTTCATAGGAGAGAGCTGCACAGGCGCGTATCACAGACCTGGAAGCTCAACTGAGTCGTGCTACTGCGACAGCGACGCAACTCAAAAGAAGTAAAGACGAGGTAATCTGGCACTAGTAATACAGTAATGACGCAAGCACAAGTACATGTAATACGCAGGCGCAGTAACCTGCCAATCACTGGTGCCTTTTGTCACTGTTTTTCCAAACAAAAGAGTCTAAGCTAAGAGATCGGAGTTCATCCCAGAACGTAATGTTCCTTTTTTTTTCTTTATACGCCCATCACGCTAACCTGGAAGCTGCGAGAGGAGTTTTTTCTCGAGTGTAATAGACTGCTAGCAGTCTCTTATTTTTCGTTTGAGTCACAAAAAATCGAGAGCGCGTTGACGTGAGCGGCAAAGTTGAGGAGAACGACGGCGGTCGCCCTTTTTCTCTTCACCTCCTCTCTTCCATTTAACCACAAATTTGCATAATTTTACCTTTTCGCTCGCCGCGCTGGCCTTTGAAGAAAGAAGGATGACTGCTCGTGATGTACACGTGTATGTGGCAAGATACTTTGGTGTCAGCTGCAGGCCGACAGATCTTTGGCCCAAACCGGAAACTACCCATGAAAAGTCTTGGCAACCAAGCTACCATCACTCATAACCTGGGCAGGAGGCGTCGAAAGGGGTAGAGGATTTCTCCCTCTCCCCCTCCTCCTCGCCTTTTTACGCCTCCCACGCGGGCTACATTACGCATGCTCCCCATATCCGTACCTGATCCTAGTGTTATCTTTTACTTCAGGCTGAGCGGCGATACAATTCCAAGTTATACGACATGAGGGACAGATTGGACCAGGCGAACAGCACAACACGAAGCATGCAAAACTATGTGTCCTTTCTGAAATCATCTTACTCAAACGTATTCGATGAACTCGAGTCTCCAAGATGACCAACAGCATAGCTGGGAAATATTTACGGGCTGGAAACGCTTTTTATTCATGACAAAAATGTATTTAACTTTTTATACACTTAAGTGAACGAAAAAACGTGGTTTTAAGTTGTCACTTAAGTTCGTGTATGTGCTGAATCACTTTCATTTATGTTCAACTTACAACGTTAGAGTACTAACAGCGATAACGTATATATTATTCATCATACCTTACGGAGTGAATTTCACTTTTTCCTTATTCTCGATCATTTCTATTCCGTCTTAAAGTTTTAGGTATTTATCTTCACAAAATATCAGTCAAACATCCATCATATTACAGGACAACCTTGTGTCCTTTTATTGGCAACTTTCCCTGTCCATTTTTTGTTTCCTCTGCGTTAGACATTTCAAGCGTACATTGTGTAATTCCCTAGATTAGTTTATGTCATACGAATTTAAAGGTAAATTTTACATGATATTTTAGTTAATTTTCCACTTTTTAAGAAAATCTTGGTACGAAATGAGATGTGTAATTTCCTGTTCTAATCTTAATCGACATGTGAACGAAAGGGCATGATCACTTTATGAAAGAAAAATTAATAAAGAGGAAGTGTGCCCTAAGTTATGTTTGTCTTTAACCTTTGATGCGCTATCCTCCCCGCAGACGTCCGTTGGGGTTCGTTTATCAAATGTGTGATAAACGAACCCCAACGGACGTCTGCGGGGAGGCTATTGATGCGATCGCCTTTGGCCTTTACTCGGAACCCTGTTTACAGAGGAAAGAGACAATTTTAATTAGCGTGCGACAGCCAGAAATGGCCATCGCGTTCTCCCCCGATTTCTTCCTTCCTTCTCGTACGTCTGCTGGTATGAAGGTTATCTTTACACCCTTATTCGGATGATCAACTGAGGATACGTTCATGAGTTCGTCACACGGAACCACCTTCAGTGAATCATACGAATTTAGACGCCTAGCTGTTCAAAGTTTTAAACACAAAAATCAAGTATAAATTATTAGCGGGTACGATCGAGAATTTGTTCGGCGCGATGTCAACACC